ACTAATTTTATAATTACATTTGTTGTTGTTCGTCTGTATTATGTATTGAATAATATAAGTCTAAAAAAAATGCTGATCTAACCCAAATATCATTCTTCAGCCTTTTTATATGATAAAATACCAATAAACAGCGTAAAAATGTAGCTCCAATATATACATATTTTCAATATAAAGGTTAGGTCTTATCTTAAGCAAATTTGTTTTGCATCCGTATTATACAATTTTCAAAATACACATTATATATTTATATACAGGGTGAGTTTCCTACGATGTTCTCTATGGGTATCTCGGAAACTACTGGAGATAGAGAGTCAGTTAAATAGGGAAAGAATTGCAGTTTAATGGGGTCATAAATAAGCGCCTTTCAGATTTTTGAAAAAGTTCATGGCTTACTAGATATTTCGAAAAAAACAAATTTTGGCTATTTTAAAAATTGTCCCTAATTCCATTATAATCTATTTTAGAGATTGTGTTCTCCGATTTTTTCTAAAGCCTGTCATTTTTGACATATGACACAAACATATGTTTTTTTAAATGGAAACTATAGTTGGCCATGACTTCATAAACAGCGTCATTTTTTAAGCTTTTCAGCGATATAAGCTATAATATGTTTCTTTCACAAAATTACTGTGTTATAGCCACTTCTTATCTTTCTTGACTAATTTCACTTAGCCATGGAAACAAGTTCAATCGTCGTTGCTCTCAGAAATATGAAATTGTCATATTCAATCTTTATGAATTAAAATAAACAAAAATTGTAAATAAGAGTTTTTACAAATGAAGAAAAGCGTGTAGGATTATTGGTTCAACTTTTCTTGGCCATACAGTTTCGAGGATACGTTGACCGGTGTACGTTACTTACGTTTTGTAGAGAAAGGTTTTCAAGACATGTTAGAAAAGTTAAATTTATTAATACTCGCCCATTAATAGAGTGGTTCCAACATGACTTTCATTATGACACACCAACTCCAACTAAGTGAAATTAGTCAAGAAAGATAAGAATTGGCTATAACTCAGGAATTTTGTGAAAGAAACATATTATAGCTTATATCGCTGAAAAGCTTAAACAATGGCGCTTTTTATGAAGTCATGGCCAACTATGGTTTCCATTTAAAAGAACATATGTTTGTGTCATATGTCAAAAATGACAGGCTTTAGAAAAAATCGGAGAACACAATCTCATTAAGAATGTGATTATCTACAACTTTTATCTGAACACTTTTTGTCTAAAATAGATTATAATGGAATTAGGGACAATTTTTAAAATAGCCAAAATTTGTTTTTTTCGAAATATCTAGTAAGCCATGAACTTTTTCAAAAATCTGAAAGGCGCATATTTATGACCCCACAAAACTGCAACTTCTTTCCCCATTTAACCGACTCTCTATCTCCAGTAGTTTCCGAGTTGCCCATAGAGAACATCGTAGGAAACTCACCCTGTATATTTACAAAATATGAAGATACATTTGTGATATATCCAAATTAATCATAATATTTATGACTATAATCCATTTTTAATTACATTATGGTTGGATGATTTAATAATGATTAAAGTTGGGGGTTGGAATTTTTGGTGTTACAACAGCAAAATAAAACGCTAACTCACCACGATACACCAAAATACCTTACTTTTAAACACTGGACGCGCGTTCCGCTAACCATGTTAGCATCATCAACAGATGATTCAAACTGAACATTTTATTCACACATTATAATATGATATGCTAATGATGCTAACATTACATGATTAAAACGTTCAGTTTTAACTTTCAATCAACAGTTTTAATCATTTGCCGATGATACTAACATGGTTAACGAAACGCGCGTCCATTGCAAAAGTAAAAGCACAGAATATCTAGCTTGCGTAGCTAGATATTCTGTGGTAAAAGTGTTTTGGTGTTTTGTGGTGCATTAGTGTTTTATTTCGCTGATTAAGTACGATATAAAGATTATCGGTTGATGGGCTCTTACATTTTTTTTTATAAACAATATTTATCTCTTATTATATTTTATATATAAACTGCCTTTTGTAGGTATTTATTACAGTCTTTAGTTTATGAGACAGATTATTTATTAAGATACATAATCTATATAATCGGATTATTGTATTGGAATTAATATAATCAGGAAGAAATGATATTCAGATATCCTATTTTTTTAAATAGTCACTGATACTGAAAATTGAGAGTGGAACTAAGTGAGCGAACGTTTGAACACCCTGTGCAATAGTTTTTCTTGATAGTTGTTGTTTTTATTATTCATCTTAATAGCTTTATTTTTCGGAGATATTTGCTTTTGAGGAAAAGAGTAACGATCAATCTTAGCATTACAATCATACTTTTGCGTTTATTCATAATCATCATAGCTATAAAATAGTGTTAATTATTTTTTTCAATGTCACTGTTATTGAAAAGGCGTATTATTATTGTTGGATGGAAGTTACTCCAGCAGTGATGGTTTTAAGTCCAGAAGTTGATCTATACCATGTTTCTACAGCAACAATAGTCGGTACAAATTCTTAAAATGTATGCTCTGCCAACTGCCGACAATCGATAATAATAGTACCACAAAACATCACCCTTAGTAACACCACCTGATAACACAATTACTACCCGATAACAATTATTTAATGAGGTAAAACCTAAAAACATGATGGACATAGATGGTTTTTTTCTTTGTAATTTATTTTGCTTCTGACGAGTGAAGCATTTTTCCTATTAAGCATTTTTCGTCGTTTAGGAAAATTTGTTTAAAAAGTACTAAAAAGCTACTTGGTGTTTGTAAACAATTGGTGTTAACAAAGAAAACTTCTTTATTTTCTAGATTTCTTTTCCAGTGGTGATAAACCAGACATTTTTCAAAAAGTAAAGACATTACATAAAATCTATTTAATTTTATATGACTATTTTCGTGCACTAAAAAAGGTATCTTTGAAAGAAAATTCACAGTGAAAATTTGAAAATTTGTACAGAAATCCTTTGAAAAAAATCGCACAGATCGTTTCCCACAACCGTGACTATTCCACATTTCGTTCAGGTGTGTATAATTTTAGAACGTTAGGTACGGATGACATAATGATGACGCTATAGGCTAAAATTATATTAGTGGTCAGTAATCGATGACGATCTATTCATCCGGGTGGGTGCTTTTCTCTAATGATTTCGTCATGCTAATGATAGTTTGTTATTAATTTCAACTGAGGCAACTACACTGGAAAAAATATACAAATAATATACATAAATGACTTTATTTAGATAATATTTTTTAATATTAAATTATAATTATGTGGCATTCCAATAACTTTTCTCTTTACCCATTGACACATACACATTAATTTACTTCCAATCCAATTTTATTTAGATCAAATGAATTGTTTTTTTAGTGTATGGTTAATTATAATCGAGATTCTTAAACGACTAATATAACATTTATTTATATGTAGTGACTTAAGTTTTAAAAATTTATTATTGAATGTATTACCTATATATTTTTGTCACAGACGTGACAATGCACATATAATTTTGCACCACGCTGGAAAGTCATCACTGCTTTGAAGGACTTTGACATTTTATATTTTTTAAATAAATTAGGTTTGGAGCTCCACCATCAATTTAGATTGGAAAGTGCCCATAAGGACAATGTAAACACTATTTGGCGCTATTCTTGCAACGGTCGCGACTCAAAGCTTTTGAAAATTTCGGAGCGGTTCGGCTTTTTCCGGAATTATATCGCCAAATATTATTTATTCAAATTTATAATATTTTTTTAATTTTATAAATAAAATACAGTGCGTTGCATACAAGAAACTTTATTTTATATTATACTTTACATGTATGAAATACCAATGAAACATTGGAAATCGATGCCACGATCCACGATGGTTTTTGCAGTTCACAGTTCACAGCACAGCTTTTTAAGTTTTTAATGTCACTTTTTCACAATTATCACGGGTTTGAGTAAATAAAACTTATACTCACAAGATAGCAATAATTACTTTGAAAATGGGCGCTTTAAACACTTTCTTTCTGTTTCCTCTCTGACAGCGATTTGTTTTTCAATTGTTTGTTTCACAGTGACAGTTGATTGTGACACAAGTATGGTTTATGTATTTTCCCAAGCATAACTTGATTTATAACACTAAAATCTAAACCCGATAATCATTAAAGTTGTTGTGTCCATACGAATATACAAACATCATTTATTCCAGAAATACTGCGGTTTTATCTGATTCAGTTTGTAATAAAACGATGCCAATATATTTTCTTTGGGATGTGTATAGAGCAAAATAACAAAATAGATCGAAAAACAAACAATCAAAATGTTCTATTTATTTTCTACTAAAAGTATCAGCATTTTAGTAATATCATGTTTTTCTATTTTTTTTAACTTAATTACATATTTTAATTTTTAGTCATAATTTTATTTTTACAATGAAAAATTTACATATACAAAGACGTAACCGGGATGATATTGAAAATAATGAATTAGAATGCAAGACATAAATCAGTATAATAATTAATTAATAATTAAGTCAAGTAAATTAAGAGAATCTTAACTTAGACTAAAATGGTCATTGAGAACTTTCAACTTAAAGTAAAGGTAAACTTGCAACTTGCCAATTATGCGTCGTAACGCGATTCTTTTTTTTTTTCGTAATATTTTGATTTTTTTGAAATTTTCGTAATATTTTGATACAAGCTTATTTAAACAAAAATATATATATTGGCTTTGAAATTAACTGTACAAAAAAACTTACTGTACATAAAGTACAAGTTAAATTTTTCAATTCACTTAATGATGTTACTCAACATTAATAATTAAAAAATCTAATTATCTCAGTTTTTTAGATATTGCGAGGTATGTACACTCAGATGCAAAAAAAAGCCACGGAAAAATTTTTGGTCTAGTTTAAAATATTATTAATTCAGCCAATCGATATTTCAATAGCTTTACATTAAAATGCCGACAAAATACTAAAATACTTTTTTCTTCTTTTTCAGTCCATTACTTGTGATTGCGATGCGACACCGGCATTTCAGCTTAAGTCTTTTCGCCAAAAAGGGGAAAAAGTCGACACTTCCCACTATCGAGTGGACTTGAATAGATTCAGAGCTCGCCTCAACATTTATTGCGTCTCTGAAAAGCTTCAGGCCAATATCAAATGCGACGGATGGCCCGAAATCAAGGTGGCGCTGGCTCCCGTCGGCAATATCAAGAACAACCTAGATGAGACGCAGCTACAAGAAGTTATAACGTAAGTGATAACTAATAAGAAGTCTTAAGTTAATGGTGTTTGGGGTAAAAAAGACTTAGGGGTAATGGTGTTTTATTGGCCATTCTTTCTTATAATCTTCAAGATTACATTCATGAACTGTTTCTGTAAGTGGTGAATATGGCTCAATTCATCTCGTCCTAGATACCATTTTTTAGACAAACGATTTTTCTTTTGTTGTAGTATGCGTTTGCCCTTCTAAATTATGTTTAATTATATATATAGGATCCTATATCTCCTACGCGGAGCAAAGGGCTTCAGTGGCTCTCCATCGGGTTCTGTTTTTGGCAGTTGTTTTTTTTTCCTTCCATGTTGACCCTACTTGTTGAAGCTCATCCAGTATGGAACGTCTCCATGTTTGAACAGTCGTCCTTGCTTTCTTTTTCCTTGGGGATTCCACTCCAACGCAGATTTCGCTATATTACTATCAGGTTTCCGCAAAGTGTGACCTATCCAACCCCATTTTCTTTTGCGGATTTCAATGACTACTTCTTGTTGGTTTGTAAGTTCTGGTTTGGTTTGTATGTTTAATTAAGTAACACTATTAAAGCTTGATTTTCATGCATCCGTTGTCCGACGATACGATGATACGATATTAATTTTATTGGTTGAATTTATAGACTTCAGTTGGTTAGAAACAGTTAACCAATCGAAGCCTTTAAATACAACTAATGAAATTAATATCGTATCAACGTATAGTCGGACAACGGATGCATGAAAATCAAGCTTTAGGCTGCAAAATTTCTCTTCTGATATACGACATTATTTGAACTACGTCATTATTTACCACCGTTAGCCCACGACCACACAGAAAGCGTTTTTTGCGTTTTTAGCGTGAAGCGTCTTTAGTGACTAAAACAAAATAACAGGATTATATAGGAGTGGCCACACCAGAAGCGTGTAGCGTTCGGCGTGTCTCGCAAAAAACGCAAATGAAAACAAATCAGTTTGTTTTCTGTAGCGTCTTTAGCGTTTTTTAAGATGAGACCCCGTCATAGGCGGACGTTATATTTAATAATACAATAAAAATAAATTAAATAGTATGCATTTTTTTTCATTTTAGGGTATTATCTAAAAATATTTTTATAAAGAACATCTACTGTTTAGGTAGATTCTATTAAATTCAAAAATTTGAAGGAAATGTTTGAAAAAGTGTAGTTTGAAATGTTGAAAAAGTAATAAATTAAAGGAATATTTTCTTACGCGTAAAAAATAGTTTTTTTTATGCGTAAAGTGTTTTTTTCTGCGTAAAAAAGTTTTTTTAGCAGAAACAAGTAGTTTTTGACGCTTAAAAAATAGTTTTTTTACGTGTAACAAATAGTTTTTTTACACGTAAAAAATATTTTTTTGGGTAAAAAGGTTTTTTTTACCAGAAACAATAAGTTTTTGACGCGTAAAAATTATTTTTTTACGTGTAACAAATAGTTTTTTTACACGTAAAATATTTTTTTGTGCAAGAAAGGTTTTCTACCAGAAACAATAAGTTTTTGACGCGTAAAAAATAGTTTTTTACGTGTAACAAATAGATTTTTACACGTAACAAATAGTTTTATACGCGTGAAAAATAGTTTTCTACCAGTAACAAATAGCTTTATACGCGTAAAAAATAGTTTTCTACCAGTAACAAATAGTTTTATACGCGTAAAAATAGTTTTTTACGTGTAACAGTTTTATTCTCTTAAAATAATAAAATTAGTTTTTTACGTGTAACAAATATTTTTTTACACGTAATACTTTGATTCACTTTTACAAAATTTGTATTAAAATATCAATATTTTTGATAAACACGTGGACTGCTCACAAATACACACGTCGCGTCACTGCGTATTTCTAAGCCGTTAACACGTTTCGTTACAACGAGCTCGTGTATCAGGGCCGTCTCAATAGGTCGTATGCTACGACCTTCAATTTTTACTCCCAGCGCGCGTAAAGAAGTTTCACTCCAAAATGTTTCTAAATCATGTCCTAAAATTGCATTAGCAACTAGAAATATTTACTATTCTATTATATAATTATAATTACTTATTATATTATATTATAATTATAACAGGTACTAATACAACATACATACAACATACAACATACAAACGCGACAACATAAAAAAACTATACACATATAAACTAAAATTCGTAAAATAAATGGCAAATAATGGTTATTAATTTTACACACATCACTGGCACTAGCAGTAGATTATTGTGTTTGTCTCCGAATATATGCCCCGGCCCGTCCACAATTCAATCCCAGCATCTTTCATCTTCGTCTCTTCAACGCTAACGGCGCCGATCTCGCCTATCTCTTTCTCACAGGATTGATTGTTGGACGGGCCGGTAATCCACGAGCTTGTGACGTTACTAATTGACATCTTGATAGAAACTGCAAACCTGCCGCGTCTTTTGCGTGTTTTTAATGGACACAAATCGAAAAAACCGCTTAAAACGATAAAATTTCAAAAAGCGCTTGAGACGCAAAAAACGCAAAACGCTAAAAACGCTTTCTGTGTGGCCGTGGGCTTATACTGTTTGTTCAGGCATCGTTCGCCGTTACGTCGTCATTATTTGTCAAATATGAGTTTTAGGGTGTGTCTGAAATGAGTTCATATTTATGTTTATATTTTTTAATTTTGACATTGATCAATGTCCGTCAATAAAATTATACCTAACCTAACCCCAAATCAAATGACAATGACAATTTCTGAAAGGATATTTTGACATTGGTCGATGTCCGTCAATGAGATTATAACCTCAAATCAAATGACAATGACAATTACTAAAAAGAATGTGCAGTAATTTACGAAATGCCGTAATGTAATCTCTTTCATCTGGTTATTAAGTGATTGAGAGTTCGAACCTCCTAAGTGATTGAGATGCCATTCTGGAAGAAGGATAAATGCAACTGATGTGTTATCCAAAACCATTAATTTTTGCTATTATTCAAGCATTAAGAAATCAAGAAATAAGTAATAAGTTGTGAAAATTGTTAAGCTTTAGAATACTAAATTTGTCATACATATTTATTAATACTTATAAATCTTAGGATTTTTGCTGTAAAGTTAATTATGAAATATCTAAATACTCTAAATTTAATAAAGTCTAATTCAAGCGGGCATTGGACATTGACAATTAATTATTACAAATTTTCAATGTTTACAAGTGCGAAGAAATTCGGGAGATAATATCATATCACAGATAACACATAATCCAGATGGCTCCTTACGTGTTAAAAATTGTCACCCCAATTTCACTCCAATTTGGAAAAATATTGGAGTGACGTTTGAATAATCTGAAATTTTTAGATTCCTTTTCTAACTTTTTTGGGAGGTTTTGCTTCTCTTGCACAGATGTCGCTTGCACTTCAGTTGCGTGGTTGCCAAACGTTATATCGAAATATATTTCATTTCATTATGAATATATAAAATTAAAAATTATGTAATTTATAAACATGAAATAGATATGGATGTTAGGTAATACCGGATGTTAAATTAATATATAAATATTTAACTTAATACGTACATTATTATTTTATTAATTTATCGTCACGTCATTTACCAGTTGCCTAATTACGAAAAGTTTCATATGATATTAACCTCAAAAATGATCTTTGAAAACAAACAACAACAAATAACTCAAAGAAATAACTACATACTACATAATAATAACTGATAATAATGACTTTTAATGGTATAAAGGCTGATGAAGGTAATTATAAACATTATTTTGAGTTTGTTTAAAAAATATAGGATCCAATATAACTAAGCAAAATCAAACAGTTTTAGACAACCAATACAAGATTCAGAACTCGGCATCGCGATAAACAAGTAAAATTGTACATTCAGGAACTCGTTTAAATATTATAGGTAAGTAATATTTTCACAAAAAGTAAACATAAAGTAATATAGAATATTACCTGTGATAAAATGTTAATTAGTGACGTATATTTATTCTAATCACATTTAAATTTAAACTCAAAATTTTCATAAAGAAAATGATAATTTTTTCATAGATATAAAGTAAATAATATTACATATTTCAGGTTGATTGAAGAATAATCTACAATTGATTAGAGCCTATGACGATGCGAGAGATAATTAATATCACCTAACTTTAAACCAGCCTAAAGAAGTTTACATGCATCTCATCTAACCATTATAGGTAATAATTTACAAAATTAGTCATTTTGATTATAATATTATGGTATCTTAGGTACATTTTATCTTCTAGATCAGTAGTGATTTTCATAATTTGAATGAACTCACAGATAGCAATGGGGCACCGCACGAAGCAGTATTACAAAATGTGAAATAAAACTGTAGTACATATTGCTCTATAAAATTTAATAGAAATAAATTTATTTATGAAAATTAATGAAGTTTTATCTTTCCCTAGGAAAAAAATAACAATTATATTTTGAACAATTAATTTAGAACATTAGAGTTAAAAAATATATGTGTTAGAAATTGTAACACATATTTTTTAACTCTATGTTAATCTAACTTAGAATAACATATTTTAATAAAATTGCGCTTATACTTTATACTTTTTGCTATTATATCAATAAGAACTAACGTAAAGGGAGCAATTCATTTATACTATAAACACACATGCATATTTTTTGGATCTTTTTAAAACCATGAATGATGTTGAAATATGCTACACCTATTAATTCTTATTAACTAACTTTATAGCTAGACAGTTGAAAATTTTACAGATAATTAATGTATCTATGTTGCCGCTATAAGAACAAATACTAAAAACAGAATTAAATAAATGTTTATAAATAAAAAAGTACTTTCACTAAACATTATCGTTTAAGTAAGAATTTTACAAAGAATATTCAAGTCCTCGAGTGGCCGTGTGGTTAAAGGCGTTAGGATTTGAAGGCGGTGAGACGTAGTGAGGCAGGTTCGAATCGTAGGCAAGGTGACTGTTTCTTAATCTTTTTTTTTATTTTTACATATTTATTTTTACTTATTTATTATTGATTAATACAATTTTTAGCAATGTGTTTCTTCATTTTTTTTAAATTACTTACAAGCGCATTCAAAATTTCAGCTAAATCGGAAAAAAAGTTTACAATAATATAATGTCTGATGTTGTATAGATAATGTGTGAATGGTACATTCAATGATAATGAACCCTTCGTGCGCGAGTCCGACTCGCACTTGGCCAATTTTTTTTGTTAATTGAAACGTTTAGAATTTGAATATTCGTTCAAAAATTTTTTTTTAATAAATTTATTTATGATAAACAATTTATTAATGAAATAATATGACCGAATTTCCTGGAAAGTTTTTCAAATTTGTACATATGAAAACCTAGCTTTACCACTTATCATAGAAAATCTCTATTCCTTCCCTTATCACGGAATAATAAAGGAACGAACCATATGCGACAAAGATAGAAGATTTAGATATGTCGTTACTGTCTTTGTTGTTTTTAACGGATATTTTAAAAAGGCGGGTAATTTACCTTTGACTGTCTTTGATTATAACTGTGTGTGATTAGTGATAATAAAATTATTATTAAAATGTCTGGTAATAAGTGCCAATTTTATAATTGTGGGATTTCTCGGAAATCAGGTGTACATATGTTTAAGTTTCCTGCGTCAAGAGATCCTAATTTATGTACAAAGTGGATAGAAAATTGTGGTGAGTTCATTCATATAGAATTTTTTGCACATTTTGTATGTAAAAATACGGCGTTAAGTTACCTTAGAAATGGTGATCGATGGCTTTTACCATATACCGTATGATCGAAAAAAAACGGCGTCAGCGATGGCTATGAAATGAAGATCGCTGTCATTTGATATATAAAAATTATATGGGGAATGTCATCGACCATCATTTCCAAGCCAATCGGACGCCTTTTTTTGGATCATACGGTATAATTTAACACATTAAAATTGTCCATCGTTATTTCTTTATCTATGCAAAGTTTATGATGGATAAATCAAGTAATTAAGTGGATATAAATTATAAATGAATCAGTGAACATAAACTGTTATAAATTATAAGTAAATGCAATTATTGAATATACCATACGATCGAAAAAAAAACGGCGTGGGAGTGGGCTTGGAAATGAAGCATATATAGATTAATTAGAAAGCATTTTATAAAAATATATAGTTATACAGGGTGTCCCCAAAAAAGTTATACATTAAAGTTGTTTTTGTAATGGAATACCCTATATATTAATTGATTTTTGGATTCAGGAAAAAATAAAGGTGTGTTTATTAAAAAAACGTATGTGCCTAGAATGTAAGGATTTTGACATATTTCACATTTTGTGAAAATGAAGAATAAAATTTAAATTTCAATAACAGCTATCTATATTGTAATTTATCCTGTATAGCCTGATATTTAGTTACAATAACCATAATATGTTAAACCAAAAATTAAAATGTGACAGGAAAAGTTATACAGGGTGGGACAAAACTTATATTGAACATTTATCACTTTGAAAAGCAAGTTACTCCTTTATTTTAAATGGAACACCCAGTATATTATTTCCGTGTTCAATGGGGGAATTCATATATCTTCAAAATATTATTAAGGTTGCCTACCCCTCTAACAAAAGATTTTCCTAGATACTTTCATTTTTATGATTTTTGCGTCAGTAGATCTTTATTATTTGAAAAAATCTAGGTGGCTGTGTTAATTTATCAAAATTAAAGGATGTAGTATAAAATACTGTAATAAAAACATACGTTTAAAACATATATTAATTATCACAGAATTAAAATTAGATATAAATGTATAATTATATAACAAAAATTTGAATCTAAAAGTAGAATCATATCAATTCTTTCTGATGTAGGATAAGTTTCTATTTTCGGAAAATTTCTTAGATTTTTTTGTTTCAACTGACGAACTGACACAAAATAATAACTAGTTGCTAAAGTTGAACTAATTTGACACTATGTTGAAGTAACGTCAGACATATCACAGCCACCCTAGATTTTATCAAATAATAAAGATCTATTCACACTAAATCATAGAAATGAAAATATCTAGGAAAATCTTTGTTTGAGGGGTAGGCCGGCAACCTTAATAGTATTTGGAAGTGACATGAATTTCCCATTGAATATCGGAATAATATTCTGGGTGATTCAATTAAACTAAAGGATTTATACAGGGTGGGTATTAAAGGAGTTATACAGGTTATACCAATGTTCAACATTAATTTTGCCCCACCCTGTATAACTTTATGGGTCAGGTTTTAATTTGATTTAAAGTGCAATAGAGTAAATTCCAATTTAGGTAGTTTTTCTTGAAATTTAAAAATTGTTCTTCAAAATCTTAAGTAAGTCTAAAACCTTACATTTCAGTCATATACTTCCCTAATAAAACACACCTTTATTTTTCTCTTAGAATCTAAAAATTAGTTAATAAAGGGGGTATTCCGTTACAAAAAAAACACAAATTTGATGTGTAACTTTTTTTGGGGACACCCTGTAGAACTCTCTATATTTTTAAAACGTGCGCAGAATTAACTTACATATGCTCACAAAATTTCATTTCAATACGAACTGGTCGTTCTCCTTGGAGCCTCCGAGTCGTATGAGAGGCGCCACCCTGTATAATTTTTATATAGTTGCACTTTAATAAATTGTTAGTTAAAACTAACAGTCCTACGAGTGTGGAATTTTGTACAGGTGGATTTTGGACATTCATCTCTTAAGAGAGTGAAATAAGGGATGAAAATTTGTACAAACATTTGTTAAAATCGGGTTTAGAAGTATGAAATTCTGTTTGTTCCTTATGTAACGTAATTTAGCAATAACAAGCAATTTTTTTTTTGTCCACACCTCATTTCACCCCGTTAGAGGGCGAATTTCCAAAAATTGTTCCTGAGTGCTAAATTACGTTACATAAGGAACGTCTGTGCAAAATTTCATACTTCCAAAACCGATTTTAATGAATTTTTGTACAAATTTTCATCCCTTAATTCTTATGGGGCGAATGCCTATATAGATAACCTTTACCCTTATTTTCAGCTAATGAATATTAAGAGACAAATAATAAAAATAAAATCTAAATTATAAATTTCATGGCTATAAATAGCATATATATTCATCTAGAAATTCTGACTTTCAAACATCCACTGCGACTAGTATTTTCATATCCAATTGTATAGTATTAAAGTCCGAATATACATTTTTCCCTGGAGTTTGACCGGGAATTTGCTTATAAATATGAACAACCGGCTACGTCGCTTCACATCGCGTGGCCGTGGTGTGGCTCGAAATTCGTTCGTTTTAAAAATATTATTAGATTTGGCTATAGGCGCCCTCTGTGTCATTAATAGGGAACTGTCTCATCGAAAACATGCTGTTCCGTAAGCAATGGCCATCTGGATTATGTGTTATCTGTGATCATATGAAAAAATATTTTTTTCAATATGAAATATTTTTATTTAACGTGGCTCCATTTAGTTATATATTTTTACTACAATTAGAATAGTTAAAATAATAATTCCTTAAAACAATCGTTTCTTCAAAATTAAAATAATAATGTTACGGGTAGTGAATTAATACGAATAATCTGTTTCAGTGAAATAGTGACCACTGCTTTAAGGAACACTGAAGTGAATCTCAACTTGGCCCAGTACCCCACATGCCCAAGACTAATTCGTCATATCGAAACACCAGGTCGTATGCTTCCTTTGCATTATGACAGCATGGTGAGTATTTCTCACATAATCAATAGAGTTTCTAGCGAAATATTTTTTATATTCGTTTTCCTTTATTAAATCCGTTCTAGGCTAACCCTGCTAGATATTTGATTAGCCCCTCATACTTCAACATGTAAATTGACCGATAGCATCTGGCAAATTCGCGGATAGAAACTTTATGTTTGTGTGTCGGACCGCGGACCAAGCCTCTGACGGCCCAAATCCGCAAGCTTGATCTGTCAGATTAGATTGGTCTAAAAAACGATCGAAGGATAAAGTCTGTGGGCTTGTAACGCTTTTATAAAACGTCGAAAGATTTAATCAGGCAAGGATCTATCTAATCAGCAGAAGTTGGTATGAGTCGGAAGCAGGCCAGATTGGGCCATCCGAAATACGAGGGTTTTGGTACGTGATGAGCCAAATCTACCGAATAAATCCGCAGACCAAATCCGCTGGATTATGGGGGGTTATTAATGTCTAATCCCTGATCATATACCATACATAATACATAGGTTTTAATTAATTATTATCAGATATACACATGAAAAGAAGTATTTTAGTAATTTAATGAGAGGTCATTCTTTTTAGATCGACTTTATTTGTAATTAATGAATAGTAAAATGTGTCTTTATTAAATTATTATTGTAAACAATATGTTAACTTCAAATACATTTAATTTTACCGTTTGACTGAAAGAAATAAATTTGTTCAACTATTTATTAGCCAGTTTGCAATGAAGTTGAATTTGCTTTTTTACTTAAAAATCATTATGTTCTTCTGTCTATAATTTTCAATTGGCATTTGTTTTAGCAAGGTAATGCTTACTCATCAACGCCTAATCATTCTCCGCTGAACGCGGTCCAACTTCAAGGAGAGAAACGACTTTTAGTAAAAGTGATAAGAGCCGCCCAATTGGGCGGCACCCAAGGCTGTGTAGAACCATTCTGCGTCATAGAGATGGACGAACCCTCTCAGAAGAACCAAACTTCGGTGCAGAAGAACACCGACTCACCTTACTGGGACGAACATTTCTTATTGTAAGTAATAAAATAAATAAATTATATCTATGTGTTGTTAATTTTTAATAATCGTAACAGATTATTATAATTAAATATCATTTCGTAACTATTAACATTCCCATTTTTAATTTTGAAGTATATGTATAGCTTACTGTGAAGTGGGAAAGCTCATACTATAGTCTGTCCAATGACAAAATACTTGTCAGTGATAAATGTTTGTCATTTTAATTTCAAAGTAGTTTATTTTATTTCACAAAGAAATAAGTTGGTACAATTGGGATGCAAAGCGAGAATATAATATATTTAAAATTTTAGTGAACAAAGGTGTGTTAAACAAACCACATACAAAAAATCTATAATAAAATAACCATTTCTTTCTTTCAAACTTCATGAAACTTCCTGCATTATACTTATCGATATAACTTATTATCTACAAATAAAAAAAGTTCTAATACAGCACAGGAATAAGTAAAACAAAATATTTTATTAATAATAATTCATACGTTATCTTAAAAAATATTAGAAGGTCTGTCATAATCTACCTTGAGTCGTAAAACAGAGTATAGACACTTTCATTACCGTATTCATAACTTACAGCGGTGAAGGAATATATGCGGGAATTTTGTACTTGTATTTTTTATACATGCGTACATCTGTATCTTCTTTATATTCTGCACCATCATTTACCACCATAAAATTTTAGAAAGTAGAATTTAAACGTTTACTGATTAGCTGGGGCGAGGATAAGTTCCGATTGATTTATAATATATACAGGGTGAGTTTCCTACGATGTTCTCTATGGGTATCTCGGAAACTACTGGAGATTGTGTTCTCCGTTTTTTTTTAAAGCCTGTCATTTTTGACATATGACACAAACATGTGTTTTTTTTTTAAATGGAAACCGTAGTTGGCCGTGACTTCATAAACAGCGCCATTTTTTAAGCTTTTCAGCGATATAAGATAAAATATGTTTTCTTCGAAAAATTACGGAGTTATAGCCAATTCTTATAATTTTTAAACAATTTCACTTAGCCAAGGAAACAAGTTTAATCGTTTTTGCTCTCAGAAATGTGAAGCTGTCACATCCAAACTTTGTAAATTAAAATAAACAAAAATTGTAAATATGAATTTTTCAAATGAAGAAAAGCGTGTAGGATAGTTGGTTCAACTTTTCTTGACCACACATTTTCGAGGATACGTTGACCGGTGAATATTTTTTAGAGAACGGTTAGTCTCAATAACTGCACTAACAAAAAACTAAAATACTTAAATATTATGACAAAACTACGTTTTCGATAATTTTTTAATACGATTAACATGACGGCGCGGCGGCGGCGCACAATGGTTTATTTAACTGATTTACGGGGACATCAGAGATTTAATTAAAAACTGTAACGGGATTGAAACTAGTTATAAAATTTATACCAGATATGTTTTTTTGTATTGTGGTATAAGGAGACTACAACTATTTTTTAAGTACTAAAAATATATACAGGATGTGTCATTTAACTTAATATCTAAAAAACGGTAAGTTTCTCAAAAAAATACTATACGTAAAATTTATACGACAGATACCTATTTGTTGCATAGAATTCTAAAGACTACCATAACTATCTGTAACTACTAGAAAAATATATAGGGTGTGTAATTTAACTTGGGTTAAGCCTAATATCTCAAAAACGGTGTTTCTTAAAAAATAAATAAAAGTCATTAGAAACTAAAATTTTTAATAACAACTCTAAAACTGTCAAAATTTGCCCATTGCACACCCTCTAAGAAATATTTTTTAAGTTTAAATGTTAAGGGGGTTTAAGTTTTCTATGATTTCGTTTTCTTTCCTAATAACGTCAAGTGTTTCTTTAATAAGTTCAAATTTAATTGGAATACGGAAACGTGTGGACGAAGTTCGACGATTTTGCCAAATATTTTTTACCCCAAATTTGTCTGACACGTAATTTTTAATGGTACAATAGGTGTTAATAGTAAATCGGAATCAGTCCATTGTGGATTATTTTGAAAAACTTGCTTATAAGTTGAGTGGATGGAGCTGCCGTCAAATCCCCATTTATATATCGTTTGAAAATTAAAAGCCCCATCCTTCAAAACTCGCTCCAAAACTTCATTCTGTTCTACATAAGCGCATGCTGGTATGATCTAAGAGACTTTGTAGATTTATTGCCGCACTGGACTCCGTTACTGTAATATTGGAAGGATAACAGTCCTTTTTGGCCTGAAGAACTTTATATAGATAAGTACTAGAAGGTTTGGAACTGTAAACTACTTCATTTAGCCAAATAACATGTTTTTTAAGAAACTGTGTTTTCTTTCTATCGCAGTTTTTCCAGCGATTAAATAATTTACCAGAAAACACCGAAATTTTGCTTCTGGCCCTCTCTTCATCAACAGATGATATACTAATGTAATTTAACATTTTGTTTTTTACATCAGTAGAATTAGCACGCGAAATCAAGAAGTTATCGCACAAAAATTGAAATAAGTGCAATCTAGTGATTTCTGGAGTGCCACCTAAAACGAAAAACCAAAAAAAAAAAATGTTACGCACCTCATCGCACATTGCGACTACATTGATTTTGAAGAGAAATGTTCAGACTTTAAAATAAAATTAACTTTGGTCAGATCGAAAGCGCATCTTATTTTTCGCATCCCTTTAAACTAAATAAAAAGGTCAAATTGTAATGATATATAAAATGTTTAAAATAATTATCGGATAAAAGACCAAAACAGCTTAAAACTTACTCAAAGAAACTAAATCCATGTTAGATTAATATAAAAATTTCACCTATCACAAAAACAATTTCGAATTTGAATCAAATAACATTAAAGAATCTCTATTAAATGCTTACCTTTTCAATTGCGAATTTCGCCAATTATTTTATAAGAAATTTTTTGTCCAACAAATATATTTTGTTTGCTTTTAAGGTGCGCAACTAGTCTAGTTTTTATATATACAGGGTATTTTGAAGTTTTCAAAACACCACTGTATGGCCAGATGTCCCCGTAAATCTTAAAAATAAACCATTGTGTGGCGGCGTGAAATAAGTACTGATAATTTCGGATTTTTCCCGTTGAAGCGCTGCGGTCGGAATCTGTTGAAATCAACTGAAATGCACCAAGCCTATAATACTTAATCGTTAGTGACTATACCTATGAGCACAACGATAATTAAAATTATTTTAAAAATAATAATTGAAGGGCTTATTGTAATAACATGATATGCCACAAATCCATAATTCTGAATTATTAGACTGGAGTCTTGAAAAAATGTGTAAATTTGAATATTAATAAATATAAATTTGAAGACGTTTTAGAGATAGTTGAGTTTTTAGTATTTATCTAACAAATTTGTTGGATAAAAGGCAAGAAAAACACTAGTTACTAGTTAATAAAACTGATTTCTGGTTGAGTAGCTTATCATGTACAATAAGCCCTTCAATTATATTAATGAAAAATATTGACTTGGGAGTGTTGTACAGCAAAAGTACGGTATACATTTATTGTATGATACTTTACAATATCTAATGATTATATTTTTGTATATAGTGACTTATCTCCTCATACGGCGGAACTACTGTTCGAAGTATACGATCACGCTGTGAGGCCGCATCGATTCCTAGGATTAGGTATAGTAGGCGTAGAGGAACTATTAATCAATCCGTCGCAAAGGCAGATCATATCTTTGCAAAGCAGACCGTACGAAAGCGATCCCGTTACAGGAACGCTAACAGTTGAGGCAAGTAACTTACCTTTTATGAATATCTATTATATGACTAATTTATTGTTTGATTTCTATATTGCAATATTACAAATTATAACATTTTAGCTGTTATTTGAAGCATTTTCCTTCGCTAATATGGTTGAATTTTCAATAAATCTTTTGAGATTATTTAAAGTTGATATAATTAATGAGAAACAAGACAAATTTAATATTATTACAAAAAAACATGTAAAATTAAATCAAATGTAGGTATCTCCAGATTCCAGATAACGATCTGAAACACTTTTAGTGTAATGTACTACCATAGCTTTCAAAAACCACAGAACATTTTTAACCAATACCTAAATTTTAATGAAAGTATAGAACTAGCTTTATTCAGAATCTCCTAATTAGTGGAATAAATTAGAGGCTTCAATTAACGTAAATAAATGTTCCTATAATTTCGGTGAAAGATTAACAAAAGTTAACAAGTGAAGCTTTAGAAAGCTTCAAGCTCGCAATTAGTAGTTTCAATTACACTATACTTTTTAGTTTACAATCATTCACAATGTTTAAAAAACACTATTAAAATTAATAGAATATCCTAGCAACAGATTGCGGTAGTCAGTTGTATCCATAGAGAAAGCCTAATAATTAGCTTATAAAACAATAAACTTAATATAACTTTTTATGCTAATTCAAAAGTACCATCACTTTGAAACCACTAATTTATTTCACTATTTTTGAGGTTCTGAATTGAGACTTACTACACAAGAAATGTGTATTTTTATATTTATTTTTTTTTAAATGGGGTTATACTATTAATTAATGTTTAATGCTTTTAATAACAGCTACCAATAACAACTTATTTATTTGTATATATCAATTTAATAATACATAATTTTATATCTCACTGTGACAATATTCTGGTTATAATAATGTATTTTCAAAAATATGAATATTGCTATATAGAAATATACTTTGCTATCACATAAATTTGAGCCATTATATTGAGTGGCTATTGAATGTGAAATGTGATATTCCACATTGCTTAGACCAAATTGGATTACCATAAGTAATGGCTATATTTGGGGGTGTATATACAGGAGGGGGAATTGGGCTAATTACCCCTCCCAAGAAGACATTTATAAATAAAATAAAATATGGTGTAAAATAAAATTGTCACAAAAAAGGATAATAGTACCATATAAATTAGAAAATCCAAAGCAATCCAAGTGTACTTTGTTCCACTGTCACAATACGTTTCAGCGAATATTTAATTTAAATATAGTAGTTTATTTAAATATTGCCACTGATCCTCCCAGACTCAATCTCTAGATGCGCCACAGGGCTGTATAGTCTGTGATATACAGGGTGAGTCTTAAATAAGTGCAAATATTTTCAGAGCTGGTAGTAGATCTCAATAAAAGAACCATATTTTCTCCTTTATTGTTTTTCAATTTAGTCCAGATATATTTAGTAGTCCGAGATATTTTACTTTGAAAATATCAAAAAATGGATTTTTTGCTTAAATTTTGTTAACCACTGGATTTTTTCTGGGTTTTCTTTTTTGTAAATTTAATCTACTGTGTATTTTGTCATATTATGAAGATATTATGTTTTTTAACTAAAAATTCCAAATTTAAAAAAAATGCGAAAAAAGACTTTTTTTAGAAAAAAACGTGTTTCTGGGGTCACAAACATACAAAATATACTACCCTTAAAAATATTGGTACGTATTTAAGATTCACCCTGTATATCTTTATGGAAATATACTTAATGAGTTTTTGTTTTGGTTGATTCATAAATTATTTTCTACTTTCTTATTTTTTATTTTGTAATTAATTATTATTTAATTATTAGTTGTAAAAATCCATGTAAACTGATTCAGTGAGCCCTTCACAAAGGCAATAAATATTACTTATTCACACATATTATGTTAGAATACTTTTTAAAAATTTATTTAAAAAAATTAAATAGAACAGATTTTTTATTTTTCTTCACTTTTTAATAATTATTATAATATAATGGTCAAATTTATGTGTTTAACTGTAACATGCTTAGCACAATCCGATTGCATGTTATGCCTCTGCACATACCGCCTTAATGCTTTAATTTTAGCAGCATGAATAAGTAGGTCCACCCATGTGCAGTCCATGCAAATTGGTTTTGGTGCTATTTCTAACAATTTCCGTGAGCAATCACGTTTGACTTAACAGGTTAGTTTTTATACTTTTCTTTTGCAAACTTATCTAACTATTATTGTAATATTGCATGAATAGTACTATAGTTTGTATATCTGCTACACTAAAATTTAATGTGAATTGGAGAGGGGGGGGGTTATAAGCAGCTCAGTTTTAAGAAAACATTTAAAACAAGAACTGATACAAACCGTTAAATGGAACTACCTATAGCTATTAACTAATATTTGCTTTTACATAATTTAGCAGAAATAAATCGAAACAAGGGACTGAATATACGGGGTGTCAAAAAATAGTGTACCAAACTTCAGTGGGTTATTCTACAGATAAAAATAAAACAAAAAGTTCCTATGAACATATGACCTAAAATGCTTTCCAAGGAATTTACAGTCTTCGAAAGGGTAAATGTAAATAATACATTTGGTTTATTTTTAAGAACATTAGTAAACTATTATTTTTGAAATTTGTTACTATACATTTTAATGCCAAAACGAATGGCGATAGTGCAAAAATCCGTAAAGTCCTAGGTACTTTCCAATAGGGTAGTGGGTACTACTGCTGTTACCACAACAACTACATTGTTCCTTGTTTTAATACACTCTATTCAAATTCTTACTGGTTTCTATCAAAAATTTCCTTCGGTAATACTAAAATCGACGCATAGTAACCTTTAAACGCAAATATATTGAAAACAGTTTATCAATTTGCACTAAACAAAGTAACTGTAACTTCTTTGGGAAGCAATTCATAGGAATTTTTTGTTTTTATTTACCTGTATAATCATCGACTGAAGTTTGGTACACTATTTTATATATTTTGACACCCCTGTATACTTAATACTTTTTAGTTATTATTATTATTTTTACTTTTCTTTCTGTAAAATTAAGCATATCTTTTCTACTCAAATGTGACCATAGAGACACATTTTTTTCAAATTATAGTTTGTACTCAGCAATAAGCTTATTAATTGTAATGACGTAGCGATATTAATTGCATGTTAAAAGTTTATCTATAAGTAAATAACTATTAAAACGTGAAGCAATTTTCCTAGCTGTTAAGCTAACATTTGTTTATTATTTGATGAAGTTATTAATAGTTTGTTTTACTTAAAAATGTTTATTTACTTTCTAACGTAACGAGCTTTCACAGCTTTTTTAAGTATCTCTACTACAATATATAAGCATTGTATTGTTTTAATTAAAATATAAACTACTCAAGATATATTTTTATATTTTTAAGTAATTTTTAGTAAAATAGGTTACAGTTGAGGGTTGGAACCTTTGGTGTTACACAGCAAAATAAAAACACTAAATCACCACAATACACCAAAACACTTTTACTTTTACACTGGACGCGCGTTTCGCTAACCATGTTAGCATCATCAGCACATGATTATAAACTGAGTTTATAATCATCTGCTGATGATGCTAACATGGTAACATTATAAACTGAGTTTATAATCATCTGCTGATGATGCTAACATGGTTAGCAAAACGCGCGTCCAGTGTAAAAGTAAAAGTGTTTTGGTGTATTGTGGTGATTTAATGTTTTTATTTTGCAGTAAAATAGGTGTTTAGTTTAGGATATAATAATTTTAGGGCAAAAAATACATAAGAAACTTTATTAAATAAATAATTTTATTTATTTATTTACCTATTCAGTATATTAAGTTTATAAGTAGAAATTTTTAATAACATGAGGAAGGCATTACGCAATATTTTGGTAGAACGTCATAATTGTTTTCAATTTGATTAATTTTTTTTTTCTGTAATATCAAAGCGGTATTATACGGTATGATCGAAAAAAAAACGGTCCAGTTAGCTTGGAAATAACGAGCAATGACATTCTCCATATAATTTTACATACAAAAGGGCAGCGATCTTCATTTGCAAGTAATCTCGTTTTTTATTTTACTACGCTTTTTTTCGTATGGTACCTATCTTCTAAAATAACTTATTAAAGCTACCGTATGATCCAATAATATAATAACTGCGTCCAGTTGGCTTGGAAATGACGATTGATGACATTTTCTATATAATTTTACATATAAAATGACAGCGATCTTTATTTCATAGCCATCTCTGGAATCTCTGGCCATTTCATAGCCATCTATCATATAATATAAACGCCATTTTTAGTCAAATATGCTGTATATGAAAAAAACGGGAGTTAGTATGTTAGTACATGACATAAATTAGGATTGATTGAGGTGTTCAATTATTTTCAGTCACTTCCTCTTTTACCGGAAATGATAGCAACTTTTGATTTTTAAATGGTGTCCTCGATATTATTTTACTATTCAATAAAAAGTTACATTCCGACTAGAACGATATCTCATACTCATATGACAGCTTTTGACATTTTTGCATAAAGAAAATAGTAATTTAATTCTGGAGTGTCATTACCAAACTAATTGTAAAAAAATGCTTTTTCCGAATATGTTAATGAGCCACCCTCGTTCCATTTGAAAAAATGAGTTTATAATTAAAAATATGATTTGAGTATATTTTAAGAAAGATTCATCAAATAAAGGCTCATTGATCAAAATTTAGTGTTTTTAACACAGCAATTCTACATAATTAACAAATATTTTTTTTTTTATGAAATCCAAATAAAAAAGTTATTGGGCTGCTACGATGATCGAATATGTTTCATTAGTGAGTTTCTTTGCTATTTGATGTTCAAAAGTTTCTTGTTTCACTCTGTGAAAGTAATATACCTATTTAATCTAATTATATTTGTAAATATGTAGTTAAAATGAATAGCTATTAGATCTACTAAAGGATAGTATATTTATTTTCTTTTATTTTTACAGTTCCTTTTCATCGAGGGTGCCGATATACCGAATGTCGGTAGTAATCAGCCCTTTAAAATTAAGGAAACAATCAGGACACCCTCACCTAGTCGCGCGAGGCTTTCTACCACCACTACCACTTACCTTAACGGTAATCAGTATACAAGTAACTAGTTCCTATTACATTTTCAACTCATTAAAAGTTCATTCCAACTACTTTACTTATTACAGATAATCTGACGAATGGAAACCACGTACTAAATTCAGCACTGACAGATTTAGAAAGAAACAGACAGTTTGGCAGTCCAAACAAAAGTACATTAGTTATTCACAGCGTTCAAAGGGTACGTCTGGTTTTGATTTAGAACCGTTTAGTTTTATTTTAGATGTTTTTGACTAACACAGCTTTGTTTTGATTTTAGCAGCCATCACAAAGATTTGTAAAGGTAAGAACACGAAAGAAGTACTTCAGTTCGCATCGTTGTTTTTTTTAACAACTTTGTTACTGTTGGGGAACCCTTTTATTTTTTGGATATGTTTCGATTTTAAATAACTAGTTTCTAAATAAATTTGTAATAAAAATAAATAGGTTTCTTAATATTTGACTAAATTCATTAACAGGGCATTAAATAAAAATAACATCAAGATTTGACTACACAATATCTTATAATGTATAATTACTAAAAACGTAATATTTACAATTTGTTGTTTTTTGTACTTAAATTCAATGTTTTTTTTTTTAAATAATTGCTAGATACTGGGTGATTTTTAGTTTGATACGTTAGATGTTTATTGAGAACTGGTGATAAGATTTTTTTGAAAATTTGGATTCTTACATAAACGCAACACCTGCTCCATTGATCAAAAATTTGTCGCTCGTTTAAAAGGATCCGAGTAGCATATTTCATATTTTTGAAACAAACTGGCTAAATTACTGCCGGCGCGGCGGTATAGATAATTGACGGAAGAAACACCCCCCGTTAGGGGGTTTTACATATTTAACACCATCAATACCACTGAACAACAAGGTAAATTTTTCAAGTACGGCGGTTGTTGCTAACTATTTTTTAAAAGACAGAAATACTGCTTATCTTACTAAATGTTATTGTTTTTCCTAAACTTTATTCAGGAAGTTGTAAAGCCATTTGGAAAAAAATCGATTATATTCTGTCCAACGGAAGGATGTCATGACAGTGACAGTTGTATCTGTCGACTTAATTGACAGGTAAGTTGCATTTTCCGTCATTTCTGGATGTCATCTGTCGAGATGTTCCCTGACTTATTGGACAGACCATGTTATTGTTTTATTTCAAGTATTTTATTACCGTGAAAATTTTAGAAATTGTTTATTTTCTAATACTTTTGAAACATTCATTTACCGATTTCGTAGTTAACATTATGAGATATGGTGTACGCAGTAATTGAGCACAAAAAAAAACTGAAATCTAATAAGCTAAAGCTAACTTTGTGTGAATTTTTCGTTTTTTCTTACTAACTTAAAGCTGGAATTGGAAAATGGGGATTGGAAAGAAGTAGAAAGGCTGGAGATAAATCCAAGCCAAAATCTTATCGATGCCGAAAAGCAAAACGTTGAAGTGAAAGTAGACGGTGACAAACTTAAAGAGAAGCTAACTGAATTACATGCAAATGGAAACAGTTCTAAGACAGAGGGAATACAGGAAAACGGAGTACCAGTAACAGCGGAAACAAATGGTGGTGCAAACGGTGATACTTCAACTAAAGAGAACGTTAGTGATTTAGAGTCGTCGGGAAAGGTTTGCAACTGTCTTTTTCTAGTCCTGTCTTCAACTTTATCTGTTATTCTATTTCCAGTTCTGGGACAGTTCTCGTTTTAACTAACACAGTATTTAAAAACTAATATTTTTCTTATTAATACCATATTGTTTAATACTTAGATACCTTTTAAAAAAGTACGGAAAAGTTATCTTTAAATTTTACTATCTTGTTAATCCATTAAATTAGGCTTTCTGTGCATTTTTTTCATTTCTTGAAGTTATTAAACATTTTCTTCATAAATTTAAGTCCTTTCTTATATCCTAAAAACTTGCGGCTAAAAAGTGGATCATCTTGCTTAAAAATTTGCAATTTATTAGAATCAAATTTAAATTAACTGAATGACAGTTATCTTTACGCTTCTTTTTTATACAGGGTGTCCCAATATTTTGTGGACATAGAACTACTACGAATTTTTGAAATCAAAATAAGTTCATTTGATACAATTTACCTCTATACAAAAGTGCTTCGTTTGTCGGCTAGAGGGCATCAAACTTAAACACATTTTCCGATTTGAATGAGATTTTGGGTGCCTATGTTTTGCTAAGTCTTTAACATTTAGCATTCACAAAAATAAAGAAAAAGCACAGGAAGAGTGAAAACTACCCCCACCCCTACATAAATTTTAGTATAAATATTTTCCAATTCAACTCACCACTGATTTTCTTTTCGTAAAATGTTCTTTCTAGTATTTCATATATATTTTGTATCTTATAAAAAAGCACCATATCGCATAGTTTTTGAGAGAAAAAATTGGGGAATTAATTTTTCCAAAGAGCTACAAAATATATAGGCCATACTTCCAATAAATTCTGTGGACATAGAAGAACTACGTATTCTTTGAATTAAAATAAATTGATTGCACATAATTTACCTTTATACAAAAGTGCTTCGTTTGTCCGTTCGAGGGCATCAATCAAAAATAAAACGGAACGTTAATTAATTTTGAAGTTATTAATTTTTTTAAGCTTTTATGAAGCTTATTGTTAAATATGATTTGTTATACTAACGTAAAATTCCATATCTTCGGCAACTAGATTATTAAGAGCATAATAGATGTTATGCGCCTCCATAGCTTGATGGAACAAAAAATATTTTTTGGAAGTCAGCTTCGGAAAAATATTTTTTCCTCAAAAAGTATGTTTGGTGGCGTTTTTTTACAAGAGACAAAAAATGTAGTAAATACTACAAGGACCATTTTACGAAAAAAAAAATCGATCGTCGGTTGAGTTGGAAAATATTTATAGTAAAATTTACGTAGGGGTGGGGGTAGTTTTCACCCTTGCCGTACTTTAAAGTTTGATGCCCTCTAAAGCCGACAAGCGACGCACTTTTGTATAGAGGTAAATTATGTCCAATGGACTTTATTGATTCCAAAAATACGTAGTAGTTCTATGTCCACGGAATATTGGGACACCCTGTATATGCAAACATTCGTTATTCTCTGCTTATACTTATCTTAAATAATTTTAAACAACTTACGCAATGAATTTTAAAATTGAGAATTTTAAGTCAGTCTCTAATTTTTATGCACTTTTTCGATTTGGAAATATTAGATTTTAATTAATTTTTAGGCAGGTGATTTCTCAGCTACTACTACTCTTCAATCCCAGTCTACTTCAGACTACGAATACAGAGGGCGCCCTAGAAAACGCCGAGATTTCTTTGGTACAATCAAGAGGCGATTGGGCAAATCGAAGAACAGATCGAAATCGGCAGGTCCAGAAAATGACATCGGTAGAGATGACAGCTTAAACCGATCAGTGTCAGCTGACAGAGGAAGAAACGATCGTAAGTGTTTCACGTTTTATGCTTGTTATTCCTTTTTCAAATTTCCGCAGAACATCAGTTACAATCAGTATTTGTTTTCAGATAAATTTGGCACCATTTCTAGGCTACACCTTGAATATTATAATGGTAATTTTTAGAACTACTTTAAAGGTTTCGACTAATCTATCTCTCTTTTGGTATACCTAGAAATAATTCTTAATATTAGAATTAGTATATGTGGTTGATTAGAACAACTCATACAATGGGCAACGGAAAGTTTCTCTTCTAATGCCGCGACCGTACATGCGGCATTTGGTGATTTACGAGCGCTCGTCGCCGATCTCCGATCAGTGTGGACAGGGAAGTTGGAATTCGGCGACTCGATCGGCGAACGAGCGCTCGTCTCTATGTTGTAAAAGCATCTAATCTACACGGTATCTCAGCGGTGTGGGTGACGTATGTATGGGTGACCAAACCAAACCATTGGAAATTTTAGTCAGTTGGTACTTATTATTATTACGTTATGAATGGTGGAAGTAAGTAATGCCTAGCTATAGCCTTCAGCTATGCAGCTGTGACTCCATTTGTAAGGCCGTCGCGTCGCTTCGAGATCGAGACAATAATGTGTCCCACAAATATAGAACTTTTTTATTTTTTTACAGCTGTTTTTATTTTTTATTTATTTACATCTATCGATAATAGCAATCAAAATAAGCCGTAGGCGTAATTTGATTGCGTTGGTTAGTCTCTGGGGGTAAGTTTTTTTAGATTGCACGCGAAATACCCGATTATCGTTTATGCGCATGCGGAACTGCGGGTTGTAAAGTTTCACAGCCCGGATAGATGCAAGAATTAATCTAAAATCGTTTTTTCGTAAACGTCGTAATCTTCATGTCTTTTGTTTTTTTTTTCTTTCAAAACGTAATGGTCAAAAAGGTGAAAACTGGCAACGCTGCAAGCAGTGATACCGTGCCGGTTAAACGCTAGTCCACAAGACACAAATACAGAAGAAGTGCAAGCGCCCTGTTAAATATTGGAAAGTGAAATTGACTTTTAAATTTGACACTGTTGACAAGCCTACTGCTACTAGCGCCCCCAATATCCCTTGTAGGAACTACGGACTATATTGTCACGTATGGCGGGAAGTTTAACAAAAAAGGAATTTTAATTCTTTAGTTATTTTTAATTATAACATACATAAAAACACAAAAAATACACATTTTTTTAAAGATATGTTTAATATCAATATCAAATATACAACAGAAATATAATTCTTCACAAAAATTTTATAAATTAAAAGAATAATGTTACAAGTACATATATCAAGAGACAAAATAATTTATATAACAAAACTGAAAAAACGGCGCCGTAGATGTCTAAAGCTTGTTTCATATAGACGCGAATCGCGAATTGCGATTTTGCGAAACTGCTCTCATTGGTCCAATTTTAATGATCATGCAGCGCTGTCAGAAATTTTAAGATTTTGGCGATTCGCAAGATTTAAAATTTGGGGGGCGGGAAAGTTAAAGTGTTTTCAATTTTTTGCGAATATTCGCGCGATTTGAAGGTTCGCGTTTGCGCAGAATGGTGTTGTGATCCGGTTATCGATTATTTTGACGACGCTGCCGCAAAGTACCAAAGTACAAAGTAACTGAAAGCATTTCTCCAGGTGAAATGGGTTCTCTTGTATATGTTTTTGATATAATATGGTGACAATTTTTCAACCAAGTTATCAAACTCCTATACAGACAATCTGTGAAAAACATAAACACATCATAGTCAGTAGACTCAATCTGTGAAAATTCCTAAATTTTTCTCATCTTTTTCCTCATTTCTTGAATTAAATTGCGATAAGCACCTTGTTGCTTACGAAATTTAAATATTTCACATGTCCCAAATGACCTATAAACCCGTTCTTTTCTACGTTTTAACAATAAGTAAATGGCAATTTTGCACCTTCTGTTCCAATCCCACAATCGTAATCAATATTCATAATCATTAAACAAATTTAAACTCATATTGTATCCTATAGAATATAAAATAAAGATCGTAAACACGAATAAAAACAAATTAAGTTATCTCAGGTTATGATTTTTTTTAGTAACTTTCAGTGGAGCAAAAATGAAATGTCCCTAAAAATTCGCGACTGTATAAAATAGGTCCAAATTTTGCGAATATTTTTTGGCGAATCGCTTTTCGCAATTCGCGATTCGCGTCTATATGAAACAAGCTTTAGAAATGAAGATATATGTATATCATAATTTTGAAAGTAAAATTATAATAGGGCTGGTATTTCTGGTCTCGGGTGCCGATTTTCATGTGTACGAAGAGTACGGTCAATACGCTTAGCAAAATAGGATGTACTGGATAAAGACAGAAGGCAAGAATTTTCCCAAGCGCATGGAATCTAGCGTCAGATTAAGTGGTTATGTAATAAATGCTTAGTATTTTTGCTCTCTCCGACTTACTAGATTGCCATAGCGATTCACTCCTATATCCTATAGATGTAAAACCAGGTATGGGAAATGTCATCGATCATCATTTTTAAGCCAACTGGACGATTATTTCAAATATACAGTATATAATTCCAATATCCTAAGTGGAAAGAAAAAAAATCACCTTTCTGTTTTGTACTATGATCCGTTTCTTCCGATGGCTCATCTCGTTCATATTTAGGAAGGTATCCATAAAATATATATTTTACTATCGGTCCTGGGATGAAAAAACATAAAATTCAGTTTGATTTGATGATCCTTTTCTGTTACCTAAATCAGGAGAATGACAATAAGCATGTGAAGATGAAAAAAAAATAGTACACATTATTTATCTGCACTTACCTACACGTTAGTCCGAGAAGTTTTATCAAAAACCTATATACTTGTCTAAATAATTATAGTATTAAATTTGCAAAGCAAAGTGCAGCGTGTAAACAAAAGAAATAAAATGGCGGCAAGTCAAGGCGGGTCCAGGACAAGGAAAAAAGTGGTGTTCGAATGAAAAATTATGGGTCACCAAAAATTGTTTGCCTGCTTTCAACGCACGCTTTAGAACGAAAAACAGATGAATTCAATTACTGAAAGACCGTCAAGGTTTTATCTGTCACTCTTGTCAATAATTTATCGGTAAGGAAGATTCCTAGAAAATCGCTTCTAGCCAAGTTTTGAACCATTGCCAGTTCTCCCATAAGAAGTGTCATCCCCCTGCGCTAGTCTATGTTTGTCTATGTTGTTGCTATCAGAGCTCAGCGATGCCCGCATGTGTGGACGGAAAGGCGAAGTCCGATGACGAGCGCTCGGAAATCGCCAACTGCCGCATGTGCGGTCGCGGCATAAGACGTTGTCGAATTTACCACGAAAATTTCATAAGACATATATCTAAAAGCATTTGATTTTGTATAAATGCTTATGCGCTTTAGATATTTAGAAATACGGGCTTCATCGGATTCGCTATTATTAGATGAGCAAAGTATTCAGTATCAGATATAAAGATGATGGATTTTTCATTCATCATTCATATACAGAATTACATATTTTGTAAATTTTTAAAATATCATAGAAACTACTATCAGAGTAAGTAGATCGCCGAGTAGCGACAGAAACCGTCGGCTCTTTTGATGTGGTGGGACCAAATTTTCTTTCTCACTCATTTGACGTGTTTGACAGATAGACTACGTATTTAACTGCTCAACTTATGAAGTGGTCCTATAAACATGGTATACACTGCTTACAATTTGAAGTGGAATTAATTATAAAGTTTTATACATATTTTTTTTGTTTTCTTTTATCCTTATTTCTAAATTTGAATGTATAAAATATCTTACCGCTAATAAATAATTAAAAAAACGATTCGTTGCCTGAGGTATCTGGTATACTTGAAATAAAGTATACAGAGATATTTGATAAATGGCAACTTCGCTTCTTCATATGACAGATAACCTACTTATTTCGCGCAGCCGCAAAAAAAAATTGATAACGGGACTGTCGCTACTCGTCGGTTTACTTACTCTGCTACTATCTGAATTAAAAGCAAAAAGACAGTTAGTAAAAAAGACAGAAAGTAAACATAGTTATTTTAAAAAAATATCAATAATAAACGGCATGCTTTAAGCACGAACAGATTTCGGGGGTGATGTTTTTTATATATTTTTTTTTGGTTTGGCATTTCTGTACAGATTTATTTGATTATACAGGGTGAACCAAAATTACAATACACAGGGTGCGAAGAAGTCCAATATCGTCGTTGTTAATAAAGAAAATTATAAAAATGTTGCGTGGCCTTAAAAATATTGTGTTGTATACAGGATGTCTCAAAAAAAGTTGTGATAAGTTTTTTATAATTTGCACCCCTCCCCCCATTTTTCTCTGCATAATTGGATTAAGGATAAAATTTGGTATATAGTACACTATTTTTATTTGAAGCATTATGCGGTGTTGTTATTTTATTTCTTATTTACTAAAAAACTTTGGTTAAAAACATTATATCCGAAAAGTGGTTAAAAATTGGAGTCAATATAACTTTATTAATACTTAGGTATATTTTCCTAAAAACCAAGGCTAAGAGAATAAATCCGCGAAGGAAATTTTACATTATCTTATACAGGGTAATTTTTATGGCGTCGCCAACATTGCAATATTTAAAATGCTACATCTCATTGTTTTTAAAGCAACCCCTTTTATATTATTTTTTGTTTAAATGTAGAATTAAAAATGACCATTTTTTGTATTTACGGTGTATGAAATCTATATAATAATATGTCAACATATAAGCGTGATCTTTTTCTGACAAATACCGATAAAATTGTGATTTTGGTTCATCCCTTGGAGCGGAACTTGTACTTTGTAGCGGAATGCCAAATTCGAAAAAAATATATGAAAACACTCTCTTATTTTTAACAAAGAAATCACATCTCAATCATCTTGAGCTGACTGGAAAGCATGTAAACTTGGGTAAGTGAATGATAAAAATTTAACTGTATTTGAAAAATTAAAAAAATATAGGCATAAATTAAAAAAGAAAATTAACAATACTAATGTGTAAAATGATATAAAATCTGGCATCATTATCTTTGGAATGTATTGGTCTTACATCATTTATTTTAATATTAATTTAATTAACTAATAAAGTGAATCTTTTGAAGCCTATTATGTAAATATATAAACGTCAATGTTACCGCTTTAAACTTTTCTTCTACATGATACATTTTTGAAAATTGTATGTAATAATGGTTTATTTCAGATTATCTTAATCCACCTGGTCGCGAAGAAAATTCAAGACGGTCCAGTCTGTCCGAAGCTTCTGGTTTAAGTAGCGCATCTACCCGTACCTACATCAACGAAGCCAGCACGTTGGTGTTAGAAACAATCGAAAACGGAATCAAGAAACACTACCTCGTGCCATTGTCTTTAGCGCAGAAATCCAAATGGAAAAAGAAAGGCGTGAAATTGCATATATTCAATGACCATACGTTTGTAGCGAAGCATTTGCAAGGGTAAGTTTAAAAAACACTATTTTTAAGACTAGTTGTACATATATATCGATATATACATATGAAATCGTACTCAGACCCGACCCCGGGCCTGAAATGTCGAAATCGGGTCTGAGCCCAATGAAGCAACGTAGTTTTTGGGCTCGTATAAGCGGTTTAATAAATCTATATATATATATATATATATATATATATATATATTCCATAGAGACGTGTATAAAAGATAGAGTAACCATTGAAGCTAAAAGAATTTCGGGCTTCCATTGTCTTTATATTTTCAGGTGATCTAACTTGTATTATACTTGATTATTCCAGTTAAAAAAACTTTTTAGATGAGTTGAACTATGGTACCGAGCATAGTTTTAATCACCGGTTTTGCTAGTGGGGCATATTTGGGACTATTTCTGCTATAACGAATTTTTTTAAAGGTACATAATTATAATTTTTCGATGATGTTCATAAAACATTTAATCACTAGTTGATTAAAAAAAGTATACCATTAATATTGCAAATTATATTTTATCCTCTCATATTATATTATGTCTATATAATTTTTTTATTATGTAACGAGCACTTTGTTTACTCACTTGTTTCGTCGAACTGCGTCGAAACTATGAATTTTCAATTGACCGCCATCACTGTTTCAACCGCCCTTGGTATGGGGACCATTGAAACAATTTTTTTTTAATCGTACACTTCTAAAACCGTACCCCAGAAACTAAAATGATGTAAATCTTTTTTGTAGATAAAAATACGCTCTTGAATTTGGCATATCACCATTTTCGCTGGGATAAAAACCACTATAATTATGAACGATGAAAGTCAAATTGTTTCAACTGTACCCAGTGTACCCTACTAAGGCATTTGTTAACATTATTTCCCTATTGACATATGGGGTTGTGCTTTAGTGCCGCAAATTTTAAGTCCATGTTAAACATTAAAAGTGCAGTTTAAAATATCTTTTTATAAAACTGTGTGTTTTAGCACTATTTATTTTGTATATTTTAATTTTAAAGTTTATTAAAAATATCAATTATCTATTGATTAGCTGTCATTATTAAAAACTTAAAGGATTGTTTTTCCATCACACGGTATATTATTTATGCATTATAAATTAATTTTTAGAACTTAGTCAAACTTAATAGAAATATTTTTCTTTGTAGTGGCACCATATGTCAAGTATGTGCAAAAAGTATAGCGAGGAGGTTTGGCAAGCAGGGCTACGAATGTCGCGATTGTTTCTTAAAATGTCACAAGCACTGCCATGTGAAAGTTAATGATAATTGTCCCACATCCACTATTCACAACATTGAACTGTAAGTATTAAGATAAATGTAATATTGTCACTTATTTTTAAAATTTGTTTTTACCTGATATAGTCATTTCCCCTATACGTACTATAAGAGGTAAAAAATATACGTACCTACTGAGCTAGATTTTCACATACATAAGTAATAAAAAACATAGAGGCTTATGTTATCTTCTGACTTATACCTTTAGGAAAATAAAATAGTATTAATTAAAATTAGTAAATTTTCACGACGCTAAAAAATCAACAAAATAAATCATGGTAGATTCGAAGATATATTAGTTTGATACATACATCACTGTATCACTGTGAGTTAATTTAATACTGAAGAGAGGCGAATATGAATATTTTTTGTTAAAAGTATTGTGTGACCACTCTGTTGTAAATTGTACAATTTTACCTTCTGTGCGGGTAAAAGCAGATAGAAGTGAATATAGGTTGCACGTTGATTGGCCTTTAAGTTTTATCTCTATGTTTTTTATTATCTAAGGTCTGTTGGTAACTTTTTTATTGTAATCTTTTATTAATGAATGTGTTTAGTATATCTTTTTCTTTTAAATATTTTCTTATACATATTTAGACTTTATATTTTTTTGCAAAATAACTTAAAATATTTATATGTGATCTATACATTATTAATATGATATTCTGAACAATGACAAATGCACTAGTTCCTATTATAATAAATTCCTAAACATAAATATTAATAAATTTGCCCTGGCTATAAAAATAAAAAAGTTACCTAGAGTACGCACTTTATTTGCATCACCCGTTTATATTAAAATAATTTTCTAGATCTATGCTTCCTGTGTTAAGCGAGTAAGAGGGTAAGGTACTTTCTTGAATGGGCGTGTAAAGAGTTTCAATGCGCTTCTTGCTATGTTTTTATGCAGTTTTGCATTTTATATTTTTTCTATGCCTGAAATGTGATAAACTTACTACATAGTTTTCATAAACTTGCTATTTCTTTAGTTACCAATTTGTTTCTTGTGTGATGCTATAATTATTAATAGACTCACTATTTACGTTAGTCTTTTTCTCTATTATACCGATTTGGTCATCGAAACTGTGAGGTTTGGATTTTAACGTGTCAGACAGTGATGTAGACAGCTTAATGGAAAAACAAATGTACTAAAAAGAGATAAAAATTGTGCATCAAAATTTCTAACCACACAAGTAGGCGTTTACGAAAAATGTTGCATCTAGGGTTGGAACTTTATTTTTCACTATTAGTTACTCATTTTTCTACAGCTGTAATAGATTATATTTAGTTTAAATATATTATCATAATTTCAGTAGTATACATGAAAGTTTTTAAAATAGCTTATATTTTTCTACACATATTTTCCTACAAACGTAAAAAAACCGGCAACACTGTATGCCGCTTTTGATTTTGTCTCCGGTCAACCGGTCATTTATATTATTATCTGTCTATATGTCTCACTCATTAAAATCCAGACCACCTAAATTGGATGACCAGCAAGGTATACACATATATCATATTATGGAATTATTTTTCGGAATGTGAAAAAATAAAACAAGAATTATTTACTTCTGGACTTTCTAAATTGTATTTTTTTGGTTGACCGTTAATAGCTTTAGCATTATATCGCTTACACAGTTCTGTATGTCGTTTTATTGTCAAAAATCTTGAATATGCATTAATATTTTACTGAATATGTCGACAATTATCGTCATAATAGACGTTTCTCTGTTATTGAACTTATGCACTAGTATGCACTAGTTTTATATTCTTTATTGCAATTTTACATAACTCCCAACTACTTTTGTTATCCACAAAACTTGTGTCATCTACTTACCTGACCAGTGAGTCACACTAGTTTTGGTTATGGTAAACGGGTAAACTATAATCCTTGTCTATAATATAGATCATTCAGGGACAAAAAAGTATATACTTGTGCAGAACATCCTGTAAGAAAGAACAAACCTAAATAATACTGTTTTCTATGATTTGTATGGGTATTAGAAAAACAGAGTTTATAAATCTTTGTTATCCTATATACAGGGTGGCCCATCGAAAACGTTCCGCAAGGTATAACGGCCAGGGTAATTTTTTTCAGAAAATCCAAAAACACGTCAATTTTGTTTGTGAGGGGGACAACTTTTGTCTCTAAAATGATTGCAAAATCTTCAACCTTCTAAGCGGGGGTGTCATCCCCCAACTTTTTTCAAATGGGAAGGGGGGTCAAATCGCCGCAACGAAAAGAGCTTTTTATTCTCTATATTTCCCCCCTTCGTTTTTGAAAATCGGTCGAGTCATTGAGAAAATATGAAGGATTGAAATTTGAAAAGTTTATTTAAACATTTATCAGAGTAAATGATAAGGATAAATTCCTTCGACCAATTTGCTGTTTTTTTCTTATTATTTCTAGATGTTTACGCATTTTTTCACTTGCCACAAGGTTGAACAATCAGGTGCGGTAGTTGCTAGATAGCTGTTCTGTGACTCGTGCGTTGAAGTTCTTCTCAATATCGTTAAACTTTTTAACGATTATGATGTACTCACTTGCAGAAAAAGTGGAAATAATCGAACTTTTTGTTTTAAAATAATGAATGTGGCAATCGGGTTGCGCAGATATTCCATGAACGCCATCCTGACAAACATCTTTATGGCAAAATTGTTCGCGAGTTAGTAGCAAAATTTCGCAAAACTGGTTCCGTTATGAATAAAAAGAGACAGAGGGAAAATTCTGTAGTAAATGAAGCTATGGAGGTATTGGTCCAAGTTGCCATGGATAGTACGCTGAGTACAAGAAAATTAGCGAAAGAGACCGGCGTGAATCGTACAAGTATCCAAAGGATATTAAATAAAACACAATTTCCACCCGTACAAAATTCAGTTGGTACAAGAACTCAACGAAGACGATTTTGATCGTCGCGGGCTGGTATTTTTGGAAATTTTATTGTAGGTCATTTTAACGATATTGAGACCGCACCTGATCGTTCAACCTTGTGGCAAGGGGAAAAATGCGTAAACATCTAGAAATAATAAGAAAAAAACAGCAAATTGGTCGAAGGAATTTATCCTTATCATTTACTCTGATAAATGTTTAAATAAACTTTTCAAATTTCAGTCCTTCATATTTTCTCAATGACTCGACCGATTTTCAAAAACGAAGCGAGGAAATATAGAGAACAGAAAGCTCTTTTCATTGCAGCGCCACTTGACCCCCCTTCCCATTTGAAAAAATTTGGGGGATGACGCCCCCGTTTAGAGGGTTGAAAATATTGCGATCATTTTTGGGGCAAAAGTTGTCCCCCTCACAAACAAAATTGACGTGTTTTTGGATTTTTTGAAAAAAAATATCCTGGCCGTTATGCCTTGCGGAACGTTTTCGATGGGCCACCCTGTATCTCAATATATAGGCTGTGCCGGAACAACCAATTTGGACTGCCTCATAAAACCATAAAACTAACAGATACTGTTGAATTAAACTTACCAACAACACCTATCATTGTTATATGTTCTTTTGTTGTACAGATTATATTTATTAAGATTTCAATAAAATTGTCCCACTGAAAGAGATGGATTAATTTGTCCATAAGTACCCATAATTTTAAAAACTATAAAATTATTAAAACCTAATTTCAAGATTTTATTTCAAATACAATAATTAAGTGAAATATAAGTGTAAAAATTGTTTTTATTTTGCATTTTCTCTGGAAGATCTCACTTAAAATGTACCATTCTTACAGCTAAATAAATACATAATATGTACCTCTTACAATAACCTTACCGTTTATCTTTAATAAACTCATTATTTTTCAAATTATTTTTTTACACTATACGTTATATTCGTAAGTAGCATATCCTGCATATCATTTAAGAATGTTCTAAGTTGTATTAAAAATTTGCAAATGAGGTTGTTTAACTTATTTTTGCTCGCAAATTCGCATCTCTTGCAATGATATTTTTTTAAATAAATGAATAACAGACTTTCTAGATGCATTTTGTCCATTTTTTCGAATTTTGGCAAACAAAGATAAACTGCCACTTTTTTTATGAGAAACTTACCGAAAAACTAATATACTTGAAAAATTGATAAAAAATCATAAAAATAGTACACCTACATGTGAAAAATCTAGTTTTGTTGATATCTGAAAAATTGAAAAAAACTGTTGACTGTTCTTTAGACCTAAAATTTCTCTTAATTTTTTTGCTACCACGGTTCGTATCCCCAACTACATTGTCCCCAGTCGTAGTTCCATTCATTATTTTAAGTAGTATTATTCAAAAAATAGAGAAGTTGTAGTTCAAAAAAATTCCTTGTCTGGCAATGACAAGCAAACAGCAGTATGTCCACAGCACACAAGGATATACTTCTGTTTATTTGTCTATCGCCAGTGGACATACAGCACATAGAAAGGCTAAGATATTTTCTCCATTTAATTCGAATGAGATAATATAATATATGTATTTAATACGTCGTTTCTGGCATGATATTGTATCTGTGTATGTAGTTTGCAATGTCACCTTTGGTTGAAAATCTTAAAAAATGGACAAAATGCATTTAGTAAGTCAGCTCCTCAAATATGCCATAATTGCCTTGCGGGTGTTTGATAATCGCATGTTTGATAAACGGTATATCTTGAAAATAACTTCACTTAATATATGCACCTCACAAAATTGCATTTATCCAATGGTAAAGTCTGTCCAACTGGTCAGGGAAGATTTCGACAGATATCGAAAAAATAATTCAAAATTCTATTTACCCGAAAATTAAAATGACAGAGAACTGTCGCTGTCATGTATTTTCTCGTTGGACCGACTTTACCTAAGACAGACAGTTGAACACACTACAGTACTATATCTAAGTACATAATTTCCACACGCTAACAGGAAAAAGTCATGTATAACTAACCTAACTTGTGTGGAAAGTGCGAGTATCTGTAAAGTGAGACCATTCAGAATAATTTAGTTGAATATCAGTTTCCAGTATGTAAAGTAATTCCAAAGGCTAAAGTTGGAAAGGACTGATTGGAGACTCTTAATTTGTTTTTGCAGATGATGCCTACCAAAACAGTTCCGATATTAAGAGCCCTAAACCATTCCAACTGACTTTGGAAATACTATAATACTATATTCACTTTTCCTAATTTTTTTTTCTGTATCTATGAAGTTATTTTCTAAGAGGTACTTGTATAGATTAGTTTAACGGATTTAAATATATATTACTAATATTTCGTTTTCGTTTTTAGATCTTACATTCAGAATCCCTATACGGATAAGAATTTGTCATTATTATAAAGAAAACTCGGCGTTACCAGATCCATTTTTTACTTGAACGGGTAGTTTAGTGTCAAGTCTAGTTTTTTGACTCAAGGTTGACGTTTAGTTTATTTTTCGATTTTCGTTATGGCGATGTTTAGTCTAAATATTACTTAATCTGAAGTCGATAAACTAGGCTTTTTAGGATAAGTTCTGTTATGCACAAAAATTTTAAAGCTTTACTTCTTAAAAATACTGTGGTTGTTTTATTTTGCTTTATTGTTTTTATATATAATTTATATTTTTTATTTTATTAATTTATTTGTAAATACTTGCTAAGATTAACACGATCTGAAGAAATTGTCTATTTTAACTACTTAAAACTTTATACTAAATTAAAACATTGTAAAATGTTTTAACAGGATAATAATCGAACTCATAATTTTTTTTAAGTGCCTGAGGAATCTCAATATTTTAGGTGTTTTTGTTTCTCGCAAGTGGTGTTAGCGATAAGAAAATTTTAAAGAAAATTGTTGTCAAGATCAAAGAGTAATAAAATAATGGAAGTACACTGTCATTGTTTGTTTTTTACCTAAATATTTCGCTGGGAATAAATAAAACAGAAATAATTAATTTAGTCTTTATTTAGAAAAAAATCCATTATTTACAAAAAATCACAGAATATAGATACGTGAATATATTTCACAAAGAACGTTAGTAATCGCAAAAATCATGGACAGAGAATTACAATCTGGTAAGAAATGAAATTCATAGTTTGTTCTTCATAGCGTTATTACTTTCAGTGATAAGTATAATATTTAAATACATCATAATATAATATCTAAAATCTAAAGAAAAGCAGTTTATTGCACACTTGTGAAATGTAAGTAAATGTGTAAGCCAATAGCCTATGTAAAAATTTGCTTTTTTATTTTGAAGATTTTTTTACCAGTGACGAAAAATCTAGAATCATTTTCAAGGAAAAGTTTGGTTTGGTTAAAAAAATTGGTCTTAAAACCGAAAAAAAAGGAACATAATTTTCAGAGTAATTTTAAACTCATAATTCTTTCTCATAACGATTGGTTATAACTTCATAGCTAATTTTAATATTAAAGCGAATTTAAAAAAGAATATATTTGAGAATCAGGTTTATGGAATAAATTCATTGAATTTATGTATTGAAATTAAATGTTTAAATAGGAGCAATTCTACATGTCAGGCTAGATATAGATTTGAGGTTAATAACAGAGTACGTAAACCGACGGGTAGCGACAGAAACTGTCGGCTCTTTAGATGTGACGGGACCAAATTTTCTTTCTCTCTTTTGACGTGTTTGTCTGATAGACACTCTAAATAACTGGTTAAATTATGAAGTGATCCTATAAACATGGTATACACTGCTCATACTTTGAAGTGGAATTAAGTATTGAATTGATAATATTTTTGGAATATAATGATACAATATAAATTTCATAAAATATCTTACAGCTAATAAATAAAAAATGATTTAGGAAAATTCTTTGCCTGAGGCGTAGGTACTTGAAATAGAGTATACCGGGTGCGTCTCAAAAGTGGCTTGTTTTAGTTAAAAAACGAAATTTGTTATGTTAGTATATGACATAAATTAGGATTGATTAACGTATTCAATTGTTTTCGGTCACTTTTTTAAATGGCACCCCCGGTATTTTTTTACTTTATTCGATAGAAAATGTCGCTCTGAATAGAATGACACATCATATGTCAACTTTTGACATTTTCGCATATGGTTTATTTGAAATTATAACTTGCGGTTCGTAACGAAAATTTGACTTGAAATACCAAGTGTGTGGTATCAAATTATTGGTAAAAAATGCTTCTCCCAAATATGCTAATGAGCCACCCTCGTTTCATTTGAAAAAATTGAGTTATGATTAAAAATACGATTTGAGAATTTTCTAACGGGCCAGGACAAGCCACTAAAAACATTAGACGATCAAATCTATTTTTCCAAGGCTCCTTGATGAAGAATTAGTGTTTTTAACATAGCTATGGCAGTCTAGATTGAATTTTAAAATACAATTTTTTATTAAGCGAGAATGTCAAAAGTTGACATATGATATGTCATTCTATTCAGAATGTTATTTTCTATCGAATAAAGTAAAAAAATACCGAGGGTGCTATTTAAAAATCAAAAGTTGTAGTCATTTCCGGTGAAACAGGAAGTGACCAAAAACAATTGAATACACCAATCAATCCTAATTCATGTCATATACTAACATACCAAATCTCGTTTTTTTATCTGAAAAAATAAAAAAGTTATAGGGGTGAGCCACTTTTGAGACGCACCCGGTATAGAGATACTTGATAAATGGCAACAGTGGCAACTTCGCTTCTTCATATTATAAATGGACACTCTATTTCGCGCAGCCGCAGCCGCAATGAAAATTGAAAACCGAAGTGTCGCTACTCGTCGGTCTACGTGCTCTGTTAATAATATCTTTGTTCGGGTTCTTGTTATTACCGATTCTGAACCGTCCTAGAACTGTGATGCGTATGCGCAGAAGGAAATATGAAGACATTATTTCATTTGCGCATGCGCTGCAGAGCTCTAGGACGATTCAGAATCGGTAATAACAAGAACACGAAAAAAACTAATGAGTGTCTGAAGTTGCTACTTTTCAACACAGTGTCATTTGTTAAATTCAAGTTGGATTTTTGCAACTTTTCTTTATGATGACTATACTGTTTTAATATTGCATTCTGATTGGTCCAATAGTCAAAAAGCAACTTTTCTAGGGTAATGACATTTTTTGTTCTAAACACTGTTTTATACGGGGTGTGCCGAAAAGTTCGCAACAAATGTTTTTTTACTATTCGAGTTATTGATAAAAGCCTATGTGAAAATAACTTTTCTCTTTGACGATGTTTACACTTCATTCCATTTTTCGCATATGCAGAGGATTTTTCTAAATTGCCGGCCATGCTGTTTTTTTCATTTCCTAGGCTGCCATGACCATTCTGACAAATTACCTTTCTAATAACTTTTACCTCATCAAAATATTTCTTAAACTTAAACTGTAAATTAGACAAACACAGACACACACACATTAAACATTCATGCACAAAGCTGGATTCGAACCAGGTTTACTAGAGAGCAGAGCAATCATTTCGACTACAATGCCGGCGCCACGAAACTCAATAATTTTCAATTTGTTCGTCGCCTTCCACACAAAGTGTTGTAACTAACATTTTGAAAATTTTACAGTATAGCGAAAAAAACGTCTTTTAGTGAAAAATTAACATAACAAAAGTAAAACAAATGTATTTATATTATATCTAACAAAGCTACTTATTTTGTCTGCTACAATATAAGAGCTTTTGCTGTTATGGTTACAACATTGTGGAGACTGTTAGCTCATACTAATAGACTTTTTTTTGCTCTACTGTGAACTGTTCAAAATGATAGTTACGACACTTTGTGTAGAAGGTAACGTGTTTTTGGCACACCCTGAAAAACGGAAATCACATCAGCCATCAAATTATATGATATATTATAGATATGAGCTTCATGCATAAAAGCACAGTTTTAACATATTTCAATATTAAATTTCGCAAACTATGAATATCATAAAACAGGGTGGTCCGAATGTATTCGAGAAACTTCTGCAGATATGCTGCTGAAAAAAATAAGTAAGAAAGTTCGTATAAATGTATGTCCTAAAATATTTCGTTTCGGAAATACATGATGTAGAGGTTTTATTTTAACTAGAACTAAGGTCGATATTTGGATGAAAATTAGTCTCTGGGCGGTTTTTGTTATGAAAATTTGATTTATATGTCAATAGGACTACTACCTATAAGGGGCGCCACTAACAGTTGATATCGAAATCAAATTTCTCATGTCAAAAAACATCAAGACACCAATTTTCATACAAATATTGACCTTAGTTAAGAAATTATTTGGAAAAAATCGAAATAAAAATGAAACCTCCACACCCTGTATTTCCTAAACTAAGCATTTTAGGACTTAAATTTATATAAACTTTTTTAATTATTTTTATCTGCAAAACATGCTGCTGAAGTTTCCAAGTCGGACCCACCCTGCATAATTCAGAAAACACACAATTTCTAAAGGTCTACTTGTCATATTAAAAATTTAAAATTAAAGAACAAATCAAATTTCAATTAACATTTTTGTACAGGACTATGGTCTTCATTAAACCCCTCTACATACAGGACAATGTAATACACACATATCTGTTACACCTAATTTAACCACCTTTAGTCTTTCCAACTAGTCAGGGAAGATTTCCAAAAAATGACAGAAAATATAATTTGCCTATGAATTAAAAAGGCAGATCCTCCATGTATTCTGACGTTGGGTATACTATAAACATTAGTATCTATAACTGTCATTTTGATGTAGAGCAAATTGAAATAAATCACTACACTTTTGAAATTTCCCTAGTTTTCACGTAATGTTCCTTACCAAGTATTGTATTTTTTCTAATTTAAGAATATTTATTCATTAATTTGGCTAATTATAGCTTTTTGTATTTGCAGTGTCGACGTCTATTCAACTATTAATCTACCGAATAGCTCACCCATCCTGTAAATATGTCATATTTGTCCTGTACACATCAGTCCAGGTATACCAAATTTAAATTTTTTGGTAACCCAAAAATCAATCTTCTCTTAAGTATACGTAACAGAACAATTTCAAAATAAATACAAATGTTAATAAAGTAATCGAGTTGTAACTATTTATAAGATTTCTTTCTAGGTAATCAAATTACATTGATTAATTTACAACTACATTATCTATAATAACTGTGTCAAAATTTATAAACTAATATTCGATTCGGCATTGTCAAAAATTAATTAACTACTTAATACTTTTGAAATCAATAAAGTTACAGAACAAAACAAATTTAATTTACCAAATTATAACAATAATTGCCACCTCATTATAAAGAAAACAAAAGAAATTTACAAATACAAAATTTAAAACAATATGGAGTAGCTTTAAAGTTCTATTCGATTTTGATTGGAATAACAGAAAGGTTCATTTAAATGTGTATTTATACCACAGCCATTAATAATCTACTCCACATTAACTAAAAACAAAGTTACAAAAAATACTAAATAGGCAAACAGGAACGTAAATTTACCTTTTTTTCAATTCAATAACGCATAAAAAAACTAACAACATACAAAAATATGAACGTTAAAAAGCCAGTCTTGCAGTTAATTTATTACAGTAAGAACGTACATATCTATAATTAACCCCTTAAGCTATATGTTCGTTTTAGGGGTATACTTTTTACCTTCTTCAGTGGTTGAATGTTTCGTGCAGGTCCTGAAAAAGTAATATTTTTTTTATTAGATCATGAATTACCAAAGCAATAAAAAAGATAAAGAATATACAAGAGAGAAAAAAAAATTAAAAAGAAGCAACCTAAACCAAAACAAAAATCAAAAAAAGAAACAATAAAAAAAGAGCCAAAATGGAACATATAAGTCATTGGTCTCTAAATTGCAAAGATATACACCACAATCCGGTGCTTTACTATGTTTAACAGGTTGACTGGCCACGTATAATCGAAAAAGATGCTCCAGACGCCAAGTACAAAGATTAACTATTGCACAGCGGGCGGATACGCCTGCTCTGGCAGTCAACCTGTTAAACTTATCGACTTTAATTGTTTAGTGCAATTCAAATTAAAAGATAACTGTAAAATGAAAAAAACATTCAATTAATTATACAATACTTTAGAATTTACCAATATAATAAATTCAAACTTACCATCATTTTTAGTCTGTCTATTTGCCGTTCGAATTGGAGATTCTGAACGTTTAACTCTTTTCCTATTGCGCTTCTTTGTGGACAGACTTTGTTGAACAACTCTTTCAAACTCAATCTCCTGTTGCTCCTTCATCCTTCTATATACACGCATCATTTCTGGCGTATATCCTTCGATATCATCCCCGCAGTAGGGTCTGAAATATTAAGTATAAAATTTACATTATACTAAACTACAGGGTGTATTAAAAAGTCTGCAATAAATTCGTATTTTAAGTTGTTATTATTATTATTATTATTATTTATTATTATTTACACAATAGAAAGCGGTATAAAAATACCGATGAGTCTACTGTCTTTTTATGTTGCTCGTAATTTTTTCGAGTTTACTGGCCGTAATGCAAATGTACAGAACTCAAGGTATTCATTTCTTGATCAATTTTGTTTTTAAATGAGTTGAGAGTTGGTACTGAAACACTTTCTTCTGACAGCGAGTTCCACGGGTACACTATGCGGTTAGTCAAAAAATGTTTTCGCTGGAGTTTGGACGATCTTTCCTTTTCCAGGCGTCTGCTGTGGCCTCTAAGTTGTGGAGTTTGGCAAGGATGGTATATATTTAATGGGCAAGTGTAGAAACAATTTAGAATTTTGTAAGTCTCTATTAAGTCCCCCCGCAAACGCCTCTGTTTTAATGTGGTGAGATTTAACATCGCAAGACGATCTTCATACTCCAGATCCTTAAGTTCATGGGGCATTTTTGTCACCTTGCGTTGAATTTTCTCGATGAGATCAATATCCTTCTGAAAATAGGGACTCCATATTATTTGACCATATTCTATTTTAGGTCTAATGTGGGACTTGTATATCTTTAAAATAAGATCAATAGAGCGGTCTTAAAATGCTCTTTGAATGAAATAAAGAAGAGAATTTGCTTTTTTAGTAATCTTTGATATATGCACATACCATTTTAGGTTTCCAGTAACTGTAATCCCTAGATCTTCCTGTTGTTCTAGATGTCTTAGACTTAATTCATTTAGGGTGTAGGTTTTGTTCGTACAATTCATTCCAATGCTAAGAACAGTGCATTTGTCCTCATTCAGCTTCATTCTCCATTGTTTGGTCTCCAGGATTCCACCAACTTTGGATCATGCTGAAGATTGACGTAGCTCGTTTCGGGATTTGCATATAACTTTGTATCATCCGCAAAAAATATGATATTCGTTTTTATGCCTCTTGCCAGATCGCTGATATACAGGAGGAACAACAGTGGGCCCAACACAGAGCCTTGAGGAACACCGCTGGTTACTTTGTGTTTAGTTGAAAGAGATCCGTTTATTCTGACTTGGAAGTAGCGTCGGGTTAGGAAGTTTGATATAAGTTTGAATAAATTCCCTCTTATGCCTTAGTGGTTTAGTTTATAAAGAAGCATCTTGTGGGGTACTTTATCAAATGCCTTTTCAAAGTCAAGATAGATGACGTCTGTTTGTTGGTTTCTATCAAAGGCTGCTGTCCAATCGCTAAGACAAGATGTCATGTTAGTCACGTTATTGTGGATCGACCAGGAAGAAATCCATGCTGTGTGCTGGGTAAGACATCTTTTTCCATTAGGTATGGAGTAAGTGTGCGGATGATTACCTTTTCCATGCATTTACAGATGCAGCTAGTTAGACTAATTGGTCGGTAATTACCAGCTAACTGTCTGTCTCCCTTTTTGTGAAGCGGTGTAACGAAAGAAAGAGACCAAGTATCTGGAAATTTGCCAGATATTAGTAAATCATTAAATAGACATGCTAAAGGTTGTGCGAGGGCATGACAACATTTCTGAAGAAAAACAGTCGGTACACTATCTGGACCCGGGCTGCTGTCAGTTTTTAATGATTTTATGGCTTCGCTAACGTTGAGCTCTGTAAATTCTATGTTAGTAATCTCTTGCAGAAGCCTAGAACTCTGTGAAAGCGTTGGAATGTAAGAGTCATTGGTTGTCGTAAAGACTGATGCAAACCGGTGTGCAAATTCCTCAGCAATGTCACAGTCGTCCATGATAGGTAATCCATTGTTGGGGTTTTTAAGAGTGAAACTGGATACTTTTGTAGACAGAGTCCTATTAATATATTTAAAAAATTGTTTTGGTGAGCTGGAAGAGGCGATAGATTTTTCGTAGTTTTGCTAGCACTTGCGATTATGTTTTTTAGAGTGTTGTTTTCCGTCCTGTATGCAGTATAGTTTTCGGGTGTTGGCGATTTAATATATTTATCCCATAATTTTCGTTTGTTAGTAATTTTTTTAAAAATATTCTGATTTATCCATGGTTTTTTAGAATTTATTATTTTAGTTGTAAATGGGACAAATTTTGTAATAGCTTCGTCAATAATTTTGGTGATTTTTTCATATCTGTTTTCTTCCAAATGTGAAGGGTCAAAATTCAAGTTTTCTGCAAGAAATACATTTATTTGTTCATAGTTGGCTTTCCAAAAGTTTTGTTTTCGTATTTTATTGGTAGATCTAGTTGGATATTCGAGTTGCGTTTTTCCAGTAATAACCAAATGGTCACTGCGGCCCAATGGTGAATCACTTTCTATGTTGTAAATCAGTTTCTTATTATTTACTAGAAACAAATCCAGAAGCGCATCCTGATCACCCCTGAAACGTGTGGAAAAATCTATTATTTGATAAATATTCGTTTCATTAAAGCTGTCCAAAAACAGTTGATTTAGTTTCTCAGTTCTATATAGTGTTTTATTGTTCCAGTTGATTTCAGCATAATTGAAGTCTCCAGTGATGTAGACTGGTACGTCCTCTGCACACACCTCAGCTAATACATTTATCATATTCCTGTCTGATTCTTCGTTCGAGTGTGGTGGCCTATATATACATGCCACAATAAACCTTAAACCAGCAATTTTGATGTTCAGCCATACTGATTCAATAGGACTTATGGTTCTATATTTTTTGGATACACTAGAGTATATTTTCTGTCCATTCACTTGTTCCTTTACAAAAACACACACTCCACCGCCTCTTTGTTGATTGCGGTCTTCCCTAAAAATATTATAACCATTGATATCTATCAGACTGTTTCTAATGTCAGCATTCAACCAGGTTTCAGTTATTAATATGCATAGAGGATCGTGTTTTTTAATTGAGATAAAGAATTCGTCGACCTTATTTACTATGGAACATATATTGCTATACCAGAACGACGCCTCTTGAATTTGTTTATTTAGTTTTTTGGAGTTCTACGCTGAACTTTTACAAGCTTTGGTGTAAAATCAAAACCTTGATATCTAATTTTATAATTGTTTCTTCCTTCCTTGGTATGTTGTTCCAATTCCTGCAGGAGTTTTTTGAGATGGTTTCTTTGCATTGGTGTTTGGTCTCTCTTTATATATATTCCATCATTGTTCTGAAGTTTGCTTTTTTGCTTCAAAATCGCCAAAACCGTCTCCTTGTCTTCAAACTGGACTTTTATTGGTCTTTTTTTATGATCGATATTATCTTCCCTTCCAAGATTTATCTCGCCTTTAGTGATATTTTCCAGTTTTTCCTCCAGTTTCTGGAAATTTCCATGAAGAGCGTTTGATTCATTTTTTATTTTTACTATGTCAGCAAACGACTGCTTGGATTGAATTGATTTTTCTTTTAGTTCATTTATTTCCGCTTGCAAGTGAGCAACCGTAGCTGTTATCGCAGGTAACTCTCGAACTACAGTTATGCAATCTGTACAGAAATAAGGGAGCACTCTGGATATCATTGACAGCGCCCGTATCTCAGTTGAAGAAAATCCTGCACAATTTCTGCACAATGTGACTTTGCACATATCGCATGGATAGCCAAAAAGATCACTTTTAGTTTCTTTAAAAATACAAGTGGCACTACATTTCGAACAAGATCCAGTCATACTTAGTTGAATTAAATATCTGACGAATTATATTGGTAACTTACTCATCACCTCGGCTTCCAAATGGTGACCTATCCTCTCTGTCTAAAACCTTATTAAATACATCTCTCATTGCAGGTGTGGGATTTAGACTATCTATATCCATATCACATATATTAAAACCACGATCTTCATCAGCAGTTTTGCGATGAGCTTGTTTAATTATAGTCTCAGGGTCCATTAAAATTCTTGACCAATTCATCATACTATTATCTACCAACTTATCCTTGATTTTCTTCCTTAGTTTGGGTCTGAAATAAAAGAAAGGGTAGAAATATTTAATGTCTTTAAAACAATAACGGTTGTCTGTATAAATGTTCAACAATTTGACTAACAAATAACATTATAGGATTTGAAAAGATAATTTATATAAAATATTTCATATTAAGGAATATACATACTATAGAATATGTAACAAGTCTTAAAAAATCTACGTTTTTTTAATACCGTATGATCGAAAAAAATGGCGTCCAGTTGGCAGGGAAATGACGATCGATCACGTTTCCCATATAAATTTACATAAATGTATGACAGCGGTCTTCATTTCATAGCCATCGCTGACGCCGTTTTTTTTTCGATCATACGGTATTATTTAACTACAGGAGTGCATACAAAAAGTACTGTATTAGGACATAACCAAGTTTTATAAAAACATTTTAAGCAATTTTTCGCGACATACATTATGTAACTAGGTATGTGTATGGCAGATTATGTCAGAGTACTTGGATTTTCTGCTACTCGAGCTCCCCACTAGTAAGAACTTATAATCCCGAAATTGACTGTCAGAATAAGAAATCGAACCTAAAGAAATATTTAATAAAAATACAGCTACATATATTAAAAAGAAAATGAGGTAGACAAAAGAAAGTAACATTCATATTTAGTAGTTTATTTAGTAGTATTAGTAGTAAAGTTTAAACTTCAGTTTGAACATATTTACAATACTGTTATTGGATATTGGATTAAAAAAATCTGTTTGATTTAAAAAAACAACCATATATAAATATACCTTTGTTATGCTAATTTGTTAAAAACCATATATGCATATATTTGATATACTGTTTAACTCGCTACTAACATTTATAAGTAACTAACTATTTGTTTAAAAACCAAATATTTACCTTTTAAAAATAATATTAGAACTTAAAGGTAGACGAGGACTATACAATAAAAGACTTGGTCTCTTAAAAATTTTCACGTTCTCCTTCTTATTTGCTTTACACTTTCCAGTCTTCTTTTGCTTTCTTCCCCAGCCTTCCAAATTATCAAAATCTAATTTAGAATCATCTTTATATCCATACTCTCTTATAGTTTTCTTAAATAACTGTCTAAAGAAGTTATAATCTGGAGTATCCTAAAATATAAATTATTTAAGCACTGAAATTTGGATGACTTTGACAATAATTTAAAAATAAATACCTGAAATTTTAAATCCTTAAGATTTTCAAAAAGCTCTACCAGAAATCTTGGACAGTCTTCAAAACAAATTCCCAAAAACATTTTTACATCTGTGAAAAATTTGTTTTTCTTCTTTTCTACAATTTCCGGTTCATTGATGTCATCGATCCAAGGTAACGTACCTAAAATTGAAATGTGTTATAGATACAAATATAAATTAATATTAATTGAATAGGCCAACCTGTAAGCCAATAAATCATATTATAGCCTAGAGACTCTAAATCTGATCTGCGAGACTGAACCCCTTTATGAGCATCACGTGAACAAAATAGAACCGTCCCAGCGTGAGCTCTTCTTTGATCTGAAGAAAATTCTCTGTGCTTTCCATTTGATAAAAGATATTTTGTTGCTAAACCATAATCAAGTAGATATATAGGATCACCATTAAACTCGCTATTGTGTTTGGGATTGGACAGTTTAGGCACTCTATTCTTTTCATCTCTACCAGACTCGTATTCTTTTAAAACCTCTTCTAAATAAGGTATGTCATCAATGTAATTATGGTTTGTTATTGGACGTAAACTACGTCCACAAGTTCTAACTATTGGTCTTACAAGACCTTTTAAATTTCGACAAGGTAATTTCCTAACAGGAGTTCTATTTCTAGATTTGTGGGTAACCTGATTATGTCCTAACATAATATTGGAGGCCTTAATATCAGAGTGAACATATCCATGACTGTGAATGTATTCTAACGTATCAATTATCCTTGTAGCAATGACCAGAACAGTTTTCAAATTAAAAAGCTTTTTAACTTGAAAAATAGCTTCCAAGTCTTGGTGGTACTTTGGCATAATAAGAAACCGATATTTATCACCTTTCGAATAATGTGAACCCGAGGCTACAAAATAGGGAAGTCCTAAGAAGTTGAGGTCCCTATTTTCCTTCCATTCTTGAACTAGAAATAAATGTTAATATTTTTAAATGTACTTAAATACAAGAATAATATAAGTAGATATCTACAAGAAAACTAATATAATACATAATCAAAATCTTACTCATATTAAGTTTTCCTAGCCTCAAGTAACAATTTATTTCCACAAATAAAGGTCCATTAGTATGCTTTTCAATTTTAGCCACAAAACTTTGGTTATTGAATTCTTTATTCGAGCCATGTTCAGAAACATCATATATTTCTCCAAAGCCTCCAATGCCAATAGTTTTACCTAATTTCCACTTTTTACCGGCATTATCTACGATGCATTCTCCTTGTTTTAATACTCCATTATTTGAGAGATTTCCTGATGACTTTTTCTTAGGCAATTCATAAGGAACAGGTCCAGCGGCCCTTTTAGGCATAGTTGTTTAAAATTTAAGAAAACCACCGAAACTCTGAAGGTTTAAAAGGGTCATCGACCTTCAGCCGAAATAATAAGAGATATCGAAAATTAGTGCAAATTTCAAAATTTTAACGACTTTTTAAGAAGTTAAAATAATAGTTCAATACTATTTACACTATACACAATACATATCACTTTTATTAATTAACGACAATGATTATAAGGAAGGAACTGAATTTGTGCTCACTAGTTTATTACGATTGGAAATAAATTTAAAACTTTGTAAACAAATACATCTATACACTTTCAGGCATTTTATACAGCCATCTTCTCTGAAATGTCTTCTTGACGGATATTATCAACGCAGGCGCAGTAACAGGCAATGACATGCGCTTTAAATAAATTTAAGAAGGCGCACCTGACTTTTTCCGAATATGAAAAGATTTGTTAGTAGTCTATTACACAGAACAGGTCTATTAACAGTTTTCAAATAACATGAATGGATGAATGGAAAAAAATAATGATTATTCACTTTTATTTAATTGATATTGAAATAATAAACACCTATAAAAATATGTATTAAACTCAGAATGAAAAACATTCAAATGTTATTGGACCGGCAAATGTCATTTTTTTGGATTGTATGTTGCCAGTTGCTAAGCAACCCAGAAACAATAATGCGTTTACTTCCCATAAGCATGAAATCCAGTGAGTTTTTAACAACCATTCCTGTTTTTTTGTAAAGATCTTTGCTACAATTAATTTCAAATGGAGTAGGTAAATGGCGGAGGTGCATATAATTGGTCAAATTACCGAAGCAAAAGAATTTCCAAAACAAGAACTTTTTTGTAAATGGTATATTCAAATAGGTGCGTTTATTTGTTTGTATTATGTGATTTTAATAGATAGAATAATTCGAATTTATAATGCATAAACTAGATTTGTGAATACTAATGAGCGCGTATAAATAGGAAATAATTGGAGGATTATAGAGGGCAAAAAAGAAGGACAAACCCAGGTTTCCTCGTCCCATTTTACAGAATCATGCAACTGGTTATTTCCTATCGATATCCATTTAGCCACTGCCGGAGTTAGAGGTAATCTACCGTATGATCGAAAAAAACGGCGTCCAGTTGGCTGGGAAATGACAATCAGTGACATTTCCCATACAAATTTACATATAAAATGACAGCGATCTTCATTTCATAGCCATCGCGGACGACATTTTTTTCGATCATATGGTATAAGGAATCTAAGGAATAAGTAGGTAGTTTTTTTAGATACCGATTTTCAGTGAAGATTCCGTCATAACTACAACCAAAAAATGACAGACAATATAATTAAAGCTTAATCAAAATTTTGTATGTTTACCACTCTGTGTTTACTGCCAAAAAAATTACGTCATATATTTTCATACGTTTTCATTTAACGTTTTTATTGATCCATTGACGGATATACCTATAATCGAAAAAAAAACGGCGCCCAGTTGGCTTGGAAAAAACGATCAATGACATCCCAATAATTTCTATATAAAATGACAACGATCTTCATTTCATAGCCATCGCTGACGTCGTTTTTTTTTTTATTTTATGGTACAGCTCCTAAACGGATTATCATTGGGCTCACTAACAGGCAACTTTCTCCCAATTTAAGCTACCCTGTATCTCTTACCGTTTCCGAGATCCCAATGGTGAGAGCCGAATTTGAAACACCCTGTGAAGTATTATTTCTTATAAAATGGCTATTTTTTTTATGTGATCTGTAATCTGTATATTTTAAGGTAAAACCTGTAATAAATGATATTAAATGCGCTACTTTGTTTTCATAAAATTTTATTAAATGATGGGAACTTTTGTTGCGGGCAGAGGCGGGCATTTTTTTGGGAGCCACTATACAGGGTGTTTCAAAAAACATGTACCTTTATATTTTTTGGATTTATTATAATTTATTAAAAGTGCTTTTAGCGATTCGAATAAAATGTTGAGGGTAAAAGTTACTATAAGAGCGACATATTTTAATAAATGCCGATTAAAAGTTGTCTCTTGATAGTGTGCTTGATACATTGTCGATTTTGGTCTCCTGGATAAGATAAATACAATTTTATTAATTTGTCTTAATCCAAGTCAAATAGTAACCTTTAAAAAATGTAAATGTCATTAACTGACCAAAGTACGTTTTTATTGAAAAATATGAAAAAAAGTTCCTATAAACATGCGTGCGGAAACGCATAGTTTTAAAGTTACAATACGTTAAAACTTAGAGGTCTCTTGTAATAATTGTTTTAAATATCATTAATTCTTATTGAATTCGCTCTAGATAGGACTGATCATCAGTGTTATACAGGGTGTCCCAGGCTGAGCGTGCATTAGAAGTTTCTAGAGAACTACAACATTTAGCTCGGAGATTTTTTGCACATCAATAGTTTCGCAACGAGATCTATCGATTAGAAATATTTTCAATATGGCGACACTTCCGGAAATACTGGAAGTTCACAGCAACTTTTTTATTTTAAATGGGTACCCCTATTTTTATTACATACTTAAATTCTCTATAAAATTTTATGAATTTTGATATCAAACATTCTATATCTAACATTGACCGTTTTTGAGAAAAAAATATTTAAAATTTTTGAACGAAAAAAAACTGCCTGTCATAAATATGTGTATAGCCTAAAGGTCAAATTTAGTGATTACCACAGCCACTGTGCCATAAAGAGAAAACATGTGGCTATCTATTTCAAAAATTTAATTGTTTAAAAGTCATATAATAATGGCGGTAGCTGTCATGGAATTGAGCGATTAGAAAATTATCATAAATTATTTTTTTTCAAATGGAAACCCACTTTTTTTATTTCACTAATGAAAAAGTTTTTCAATTCGTTACTTATAAACCATGCATGTGCCTATACCTAAAATAAATCGTTTTTAAGTTATTTAAGATTTAGTTTTAAAGCGTATATTTTTCTTGATTTTAACCAGTAGCCTATGATTTTAAACGTCAAGTGATGTAAAACAATAGATCTGGCCATGTCATATTGTGACGCTTTATTCAAAAAGCAGCATTATTTCCGAGTCAACTTTGCGCCGTTTTCTTTTCGATCATACGAAATATTATTGTTAATATAAACTACTAGCGTGTACCAGAGACTTCGTTCGCGTCGAATTAATCATTTGTAATGGTGATGATAAAGCAAAGCAAGAATATCCATTAACATACAAACTGGATAAAATTTTCTCACATTTATGTCAGCATGAGAAAAAACAATATGGCGATATTATTATATAACTTGGTAATATTTGAGGGGTAGTTTCATCTCGTTGGAATTAGACTTTCGAAAAATCCGTTTGCCAAAAATAAGCTTTTTACGTCAAGCAGTTTAAGCAGAATCGTGGTTAAGAAATTATCCAACTTTTTGGAACACCCTGTATGATTTTTTAAAAAATTTCAAAATATGTAAAAAAACCGAAGAAATTATGCTTGTCCAAGCGTTTTCCCGAAAGACTAACCGTTTTTTAAATAACAGATATTGTAATATTTGAGGGGCGTTTTCACCCTCTTGGAATTTCCGGAAGTGCCGCCATATTGAAATTATTTTTAATCGATAGATCTCGTTGTAAAACAATGATGTGCAAAAAATCTCCGATCTATATATTGTAGTCCTCTAGAAACTTCTAATGCACGCTCAGCCTGGGACACCCTGTAACTATTAATGAAATTTATTAATCAAATACGTTAAATAAATACATAATAAGTTATTGCCTACTTTTATTAATTGTGATTGTGATTAATAAAATTGCGTTTATCTCATCGAGGAGATCGAAAATCAAAATCTACAAAATATCAATCAGAATACAACCTTCAATCGGCATTAAACGTCCTATAAGATTTGGTTAACTTGAGAAAAAAGTCAGAGGCGCACATGGTTTTTTAAATATTCCAATAATAACCCATAAGCACGTTCGTGGTGAATCTGTTGACACTTTTTTAATATCTACTAAAATATAGGTAACACTACTTATAGTAACGTTTCAACATTTCATTCGAATCGCTATAAGCACTTGGAAGAAAATTATAATAAATGGAAAAAAATGAAGACTATAACTCCCTCTAGGTGCGAAACAAAGCATAATCGGACCTATATATATATATATATATATATATATATATATATATATAATATATATATATATATATATATATATATATATATATATATTATATATAAAAAATTAATTTTATTTTTACAAGGAGTGAGGAATCTCCCCATGAGAGACATCACATATTTTTTGCACCCTGTATAAGTAATACCGTGATCGAAAAAAAACGCCGCCAATGGGGAATTACAGTTGATGATAATAAATTTTAGCAAGGTCAATCTAGACGTCATTTACCAAAAAATTGACATAAACCTTCGTCATAATTAATACTAATTGTAGAAAGATTAAAACAGGATAAAACGTTTCTAGACTCACTCAAATCTATCTTTGAAGCAATATTTTTCTCGAATTTTCGACTACACTATTTAAAAATAATTTTTACATAATATAAAAATAAATAGCAACGTTCTTAAGGCCAACTGGCTATAAGCGCCATTAAAAAGTAAAGAAGAGGACGAGCCAAGTAATGACGTCTAGGGCTTGACCTCGTCAAAATTATCGTGGATTGTCATTCCCAAGCTGTCTTTGAGGCCGTTTTTTTTTCGATCGTATGGTATAATGTACAGGGTGGTCGAAATTGGTCTGTTTTCACAGAGAAAACCTATTTCATGACTAGATAGAGCAAAAGCGACGGAGATGTCATGGGCTCGATATCTGAGACACGTTTAATGTCATAAACCGCCTGTCAGTGGCGGATACAGAGGGGGGGTCCCATGGGGCCCAGGCTTCCCCTAAAATCTGTAAATTGTGTAAAATATTTGGCTTTTTGGTTAAAAATGGCGCCCTAAAAAGCATATTCTACATTGCTTTTTATTTTGGGCCCCCCTAAAATAAATTCCTGTATCCGCCCCTGCCGCCTGTTGATATTTTCACTGCCAACTGAGATACGGGGTCTTTTTGAATTTTTTACCGTTTTGAAAATTGCCCATAATTTTTTTTATTTCGCCGAATAATAAAATTCTGTAAAGACGTTCTTAAGGCACTTTTTAAGCACAATCCAGTGGCGTAGTCAGTTTTTTCTATACTTTCTCTTTTTGTCAGAAATAATAAAAATATAATTATTTAAATAGAAATCAAGACTTTTGAAAAGATAAATCAACATTCTATATTAGTTTTACCAATTACAATTAAAACGCCATTAAATGGAGAATTTAGAGAGAATCGGATTGGAACAAGGGGCCCCATATCTTGGCCTGCTAGGTCCCGTGATTGAACTTCTCTCGACTTTTTTATGGGGAAATTAAAATACCTTATAAGGATATAAGGGAAGAACCATTGGGACGAGAGAAGAATTGCAGAATGCTACTCTTCTTTTGGACTTAATACACCAGTTCGTCTAATAAATCGCTGTAACTCTGTGCGCAAAAAATGTTTATTATATATTCAATAAGGAGGTGCTCAGTTTGAACATCTTAGATGATTTTTTTTAGAAAACTATATTCGTCCCTCAAAAAATACATTTTTTAGCTTTGTTTTTTGTTTATTGTATCGATTTCAATTGTAATTATTAAAACTAATATAGAATTTTAATTTACTTTTTCAAAAGTATTTAATTATGCATATAAATAATAATATAGAATATTAAATTGTGATAAAGATAATTAGATACAAAATCAAGGCACACTTCGATACAAAGATGAAAAACCTAATATTTCTTTCATTCTTAGAAATAGGTACCCATAACTTTTATCGTTCGAAACGGTTAAACGCCAACATTTTTTTAAGTTCATAGCCAACTATGATTTCCATTTAAAAAAAATATATTTTTTATTATTTCTGACAAAAAGAGTAAGCATAGAAAACAACTCGCTACGCCACTAGATTGTGCTTAAAAAGTGCCTTAAGAACGTCTTTACAGAATTTTATTATTCCGCAAAATAAAAAAGTTATGGACAATTTTCAAAATGGTAAAAAATCAAAAAGACCTCGTATCTCAGTTGGCAGTGAAAATATCAACAGGCGTTTTATGCCATTAAACGTGTCTCAGAAATCGAGCCCATGACATCTATGTCAGTTTTGCTCTATCTAGTCAGGAAATAGGTTAAAACAGACAATAGGAAATTAAAATAGGAATAGGAAAAGTAGGAAAAGAAAGGAAAAATAGGAATAGGAAAAAAACAGACAAATTTCGACCACCCTGTACCGGGTGGCCAACTAAGAATGGACGCCGGCTGTATCTCAGAAACTGCTTATCGTATAACTTTGCAAAAAAAATTCTAATAAGTAAACCGACCAAGAGAAATCGCTGGAAATTATTTTCAAGTTCGAAAAATGTCCGCTAGGCGGCGTTTCTCTGATAGCCAATCAGAAAACAGCGTTTTTCTCAAAAATATGCAGGTGAACAGGTATTTTAAATACTATTATTGTAATCATCGAACAATTTGTATTTTTTTTTTATATAGAGTATTTTGCTCTATCTCAAAAAATAAAGTAGTGGGGGAACGTTAAACTTGTTTTTATTAAAATAAGGATAACTCTGGTTTAGGTTAGCCGATTTAAACAAACTAGTGCTCGTTTAAAAGAGCTTTTCTTCCTTAATGATCTCCAGTATAAATGTTGTTTCCATAAATTTTTTCGTGGTAGCTAGAGGGCGCTGTTTGACATCATAACAGATATTGCGCTTTTGTAGAAAAAAATTAAATGGGAGGCTATATTTCTCTTTGCGCAGTTAAATAGAGCACAAAATTTCCAAAAAATCAGCGCCAAACCGCAACTTTCTATCTTCTCTCTAACCGGAGATATTAAGAGAACAAATCATGTTAGGTTGCCGCTTAGGATTATATGTTCTAAAAATTATAGCAGTAGGCTATGAAACAAAAAGAGGTAAATTGGTTACATCAAAATATCAAAACGTTTAAGTTCAGTCTCCATGCATCCGAATTTCTGGCGTTTTCTTAATAAAAATGACGTCAGAAATTTTTGAACGTGTTGATGTAACATTATCGTCCATCCATATAATTTTTACGAATTTTTTGGTTAATTATACGTAGGTTGTTCTCAGATTAAAATATCCAAAAGTCGGACAATCAATAATTTTATTAAAATTCCTAGGAATTTTGTACCGCCATATTGTTTTTAACAATAACAAATTTCGTCTGGCCGAAAACTAGGGGTTTATTTCATGTAATGTCATTTAGCTATTAATCCAAGTTCGTCCTTGATTTCACTTGTTTTCGTGTTTTACCTCTTGTTTGTGTTATTTATTATTATATTAAAGTTTATGTCGTTTGGGCCACTTTTCATATCGCACCAAAGCGAAGGTACGAATCTTAACAATATGCACTACTGGTCCAAATCTACCCTTGATGCAAGTAGTTCAGTACCAAGACCGTTGGTCGGTAAATGTTTAGGCAGGAATTCTAGGATGGCGAATGGTTGGACTTTTTTAATTATCTGAATGAAATGAACTATCCATAACTTCTAAGAGATGAATGCCAATTTTGTTAGGGGAACCATCACGATGAAATTGCATTTGTTGCAATTTCATTAGCATGAATGCAGTTGATGCAGTTGGTGCAGTTGTGCCGCTTATTTTGCTAAGATGGATGTGCTTCTTGGATACCACTTACTTTAGTAGATAGAGACATGGCCGGACTTAACGAAGTTGCCGCCCCAGGCCAAAAAAAAAAAATTGCCGCCCCTTAACATTTTTTTTTAATTCAAAAAATTACGGATATAAAAAACATTTATTTGAATACAGAACAAACTACAGCATAGACTGACAGAACAGATCAACACAGAACATAAAATAAATATTAAAATATTCATATAAAATGACAACAAACGAGCAACAAAACTTTAAGGTTTTCTTATATGCCTATAAAGGTTTCCTACGAACTTTTTTGTTCGCAAAATTATCATTTACTTCATCGTAATTGATAGTTTTTAAAAGGTCGAACTCAAAATGTAAAAGTGCCAAATGATTTAGACGATCTGTTTCCATAGTGGACCGTAAATAAGTTTTAATACGTTTCAATGCAGAAAACGAGCGTTCAGCAGAACAGTTAGTAATAAAAGTACATGTGAAGATTCTTAATGCTATGAAAGTATTTGGAAACAGATCTTGAGCGTTTTTTTTCATAAATTACTTTAAGAAGCTCTCTAGCAGATGATTTTGCTGACTTAATGCATTTTATAAATTCACGAAAATGTATTAATTCATTAGGCCTTGACTCATCTAAATCATTTGGATAACAGGTTATTAAATGTCTGGACTTATCGGTAATGTCAATACTTAAAGTAGATAAATCACTAAAGAAACCAAATTTGGTTGAAAAGTCATTGTAGGCACTTTTCCTGTAGGAAATTTCAAGGATTAATTTATCAATAATACCTAACATTAAATACATTTATCCTAAAATCGTCCTTAGCGTTAAATAGAGTTTCATTATCACTGGTTTCATCAAATTGTCGTTTTCGTTTCACTTTTCTGTTTTTATCTGCCGCATATTCTTTCTCACCGAACAATTCTATGGCCCTTCTTTCATATTCCTCAAATGATTTAGCTATATTATACATTATAATACCTACATATTCATCAATATCAGTAGATTTGGACTGGTTTAAATCGCCGACAGCGCCACCGTCGCGTCGGTACTCGTACTCGTACTATAAATGGGGATTTTATATTCGAGGTATTTATGTTATTAACTGGATGCACGGCACAATGCAGTAAAAAATAACCCAAGCAAATTATATATTTAAACAATAATAATAGTTAAGTAAATAAATATGTAATCGGTTAGGGCTATATTCGAAATATTTTATGAACAAATAAAAGTAAAAAAAAAGAAATATTTTGGTATGTTCAAAATTTGCCGCCCCTAAAAATCTGCCGCCCCAGGCCCGGGCCTAGTTGGCCTAGGCCTAAGTCCGGCACTGGATAGAGACGCTGGAGCGGCATATTTCCATGACCAGCTAGGTCATCGGATTCAATATGCCTGGGTTTTAATTTATGGGGTAGAATCAAGAACGAACATGGATAAATAACAAATAAATAGTATTAAAATGTATGTTTTGATATTTTGACGTAACGAATTTACCTCTTTTTGTTTCCTAGCCTACTACATAATCTTTAGACCGTATAATCCTAGGCGACAGCCTAATATGATTTATTTTCTTAATATCTCCCGTTATAGAGAAGATAAAAAGTTGCGGTTTGCGCTGATTTTTTTGGAAATTTTGTGCTATTTAACTGTGCAAAGAGAAATATAGCCTCCTATTTAAATTTTTTCTACAAAAGCGCAATATCTGTTATGATGTCAAACAGCGCTCTATAGCTACCACGAAAACATTTATGGAAACAAAATTTATACTGGAGATCATTAAGTAAGAAAAGCTCTTTTAAACGAGCACTAGTTTGTTTAAATCGGCTAACCTAAACCAGAGTTATCCTTATTTTAATAAAAACAAGTTTGACGTTCCCCCCATTACTTTATTTTTTGAAAGAGAGCAAAATACTCTATATCAATAAAATTACAAATTTCTCGATGATTACAATAGTAGTATTTAAAATACCGGTTCACCTGCATATTTTTGAGAAAAACCCTGTTCTCTGATTGGCTATCAGAGAGACGCCCCCTAGCGGACATTTTTCGAACTTGAAAATAATTTCCAGCGATTTCTCTTGGTCGATTTACTAATTATTTTTTTTTTCACAAATTTATACGATAAGTAGTTTCTGAGATACAGCCGGCGTCCATTCTTAGTTGGCCACCCGGTACATACTTGGTAATTTAGTTAGTGTGTGTCCGTTAGGGTGGCCAAAAGTTTATATTGAAGTCTACCATCTGGATTGGATAGGACGAGCCCATTTATTTGGATATGGTTTGATAACTATACCTACTAGTCCAGGTCGTCATATTTTAAATTGTTATACCTGGCGCCCTTTGGGCACACTCAGGGATCGTGTTGTAGAATACTTTTTGGGAGGCAGTCAGCAAATTAAGTATCCAGATTTAATATTCTCCCCCGAAAAAAGATATAAATTATCTACCGAAGCTATGGGTGTAGTTACATTCGAGTTGGACCTTATTCTCAGAAATTTTAATAATTATGGAATAGAGTATTGAGTTCGAACATCGTTTGAAAAGATGTAAAAGATTTAGAGTTTATAAAATTATTTTGTCCTAATTATTCTAAATTTCCAGAGCAAAATGTATGGCTTTTTGGTATTACTAATTTTCTTAAGTGCCAATATTCCATATGGAAGTACTATAGAAAGTCTAGATGACCAAGACGCGGTACGATCAGTAACGATGACAAATACCGAGACCACCACTACAGAATTATCTAATATAACTACAACTGTTAATACATGTGAATCAAATGACACAAACTGCTCCACTACTCCAAGTTTTGAGAATTCAACACTCGAAACGTCACTTGATAGTGAAAATGACACTAGAAGCACTAGACAAGCGGATAAAATGCCAAGACTTAAGACTGACCAAGAAACGCATAGCTGTACTTGCAATTTGAAGGTGAGGAAACTATAAATTATAATTCTGTGTCACTCGTCCATTCTGATCACTGAATAAAAAGACTATAGGGATTCAGTCAAGTACTATTTTGCAACGCCTATTTAGTTAGTTTTGTTTGACTTACCTGACACCGTGTATGCTTACCTGGCAAATTTAAATTTTTGCGTGTGTGGCACGTCGTAATTCATACAGGATGTTCAAAATTCTTCGCCAAACTTTATAAAATATAGTCTTAAGTTTTCTTCGTTTTTTTTAATGTACATCCTGTATATTATTTTCCAATAGGTGGAGAATTAAAAAATGAACATTTTTTGTATTTAGAGTATTTCAAATTTTTTTACAGTTTCGCAGATATTCGCGTTTTTATATTTCATATGGCATTTTCCACAGTCAATTTTTATCAAAGCCACCCAATGATTTTTCTCTTGTATTATATATTACCATTGAAAGCGCTATATGAAATAATACTGCGTGTATCTGCGAAACCATTAAAATTTTTGAAATACTTTAAATACAAAAAAATGTTCATTTTTAACTCTCCATCTAATAAATAAATAATATACAGGGTGTTCCATTAAAAAAAACAAAGATAAATTATTTTATATTTTAGAAAGTAAATACTTAATATAGTTTTGATTTCAGGACAGTTCTTGTATTTTTAATAATTTTTGGGGGCTGAAAAATATATATTTTTGATTTATTTATTAATATACCTGAAACTATCGAAATATATTTACTCATATATTAGGATTATTTAAAGTGATGTGAAAGGAAAATGCAATAATATACAGAGTAGTCCATTTAAAAAAAATCATCCAGATCCACTTACTTTTTTGAGCCACCCTATAGAAGTTAAAATATTTCCCTGAAATATATCCTGGTACGCACTTTAGGTTTGCAATTAAACAAAATTCTCAGGTTTTTATTCTAGGAGCTACAGATGTCCGGCGCATTTTTGCCGGACCCTGTTATTGCTCCATTTTCTAGAATGTTCGACCACTTCGACGCCTCATCTCTAGACTGATGACTGATCTCCATCTGATCTCGAATCCATTTTAAAATGCCGGGTTCTTCGGCGCGTATATACCGCCCTCTCTCAACTTCGTAATCAGTCGTTTATTTCTTTTTATTATAGATATCTGTCCTTATAGTTTAGTTACAACAGAAATCATTTTTCAGCCAGTGTTGTCGTTTCTCATTTTATTAAGAGATGTCGCTACGCTTGCTAGCGGTCCCGTATATTTTTCTTAAAATTATATCTTTATACTTTAATCAATAATTTTAATTATTATTATTTATTGACAACGTAAAACGAGTAAATTATGTAGTGTTTTCCCTTTTATATTTTATCATGTTCGGTCTCTGATATACCGGAATTTAAGTCAACCATATTAAAAACCCTTCGTGATCTCCCCAATTTTATTTATATCATCCCTTCCTTAGTCTTTTTATTCAATGGTTTTTAATAAAGAATTTCTAAATTTCATAAAATTTCAGATTAATATTTGCGATATTAATTGCTGTTGTGATCCTGACTGCCAGCAAGCTGACAAAGCTGTCTTTGCATACTGCACCGTAGAGGAGAATTACTTTTATGATACTAGATATTGCCACTATATTCAGTATATTTATGTAAATAACAGTCAAGTAGAGTGGCACGTTAAACAGGAAGGAATGTTTTGCGTTGTAAGCAAGAATATGCCTAAGTCGTACTTGGTTCAAAAAGATAAAGTAAGAAGCTTGTACAATTTCTATTTTACTAATTCGACAAGGCCTAATCAGCCCAATATTATGGTAGCAGTTTTTTTGACGACTAGGACTCTTAAGTATTTTTAAGTTATTTTAGCCAATCAAGCCAAATCATTTTTAGCCAATCAAGTCTTTTGATGCCACTCGGAAAGAAATAATTGGAAAAGCCTTTTGGTCTGGTGACAATTTTACCCCAAATATAAACGATAATATTCCTAAGATTTTAAAGCATTACAAATATGGTGATCCTATTATAGTTATTAAAAATAGTTCCATCATCGCCCATTTCAGTCAGTAAAAACATATATTTTATATGCTGTTCCATACCTACATTATCTTGTTATTTTTATTAGGTTTACCAAACAGTTTTACTAGCGAGAAATGTGTTTTTGAGGACGAGGTATTTTACTTGAAAAATACAAAATTCACATGTAGTCAAACAGTTATAGAAGATGAGAACCAAAGATTAAATTTTTCAACGTACTATAAAAATATTAAGATAATAAATTCGCAAGGATTATTAAATTTATCACAAAAATATATCTACAAGGTAGTGGTTTGTATAGAATTATATTTCCCATTTAAAATCCATTCTCTTGTAGTTTTGTCCAAGAAATGTATGTATTGAAATTGAACCACAAATATGTGATGCCCAATTGGACAAATGTATAAAAATTGATAGAAATATTAGTTTTAAAGCTCAATGTACCTATAACTTTAAAGAAAATATAAATGTCTGCAAAAACTTGGTCGAGAAAATTCATTATAATTTCTATCACAATGGATCTAAAGGCATACACAAAATAGAAGTGCTGGGAGTTTTGAAGAATATCAGTTATCATTTTGGAATTGACAGTTTCAAACATGTCCAAGAGTTTTCTGTAGAGTTTTTGTGGATGAATGAAACAAGAAACTATTCCAAAATTCTCAGTGGAAATCCTGGATATATTGATGGAAAACCTATATTAATTGGTAGTAAAATCATTAAAGAGAATAATACGTTTATACAACGAAATTCTAGTGCGTTTATAGAAAACTTCTTAACTTTTGCTAAAAATGTGGGCAATAAATGTATAAGAAATAGCACTTACAATGATCCGATATATTTCGGTTATAACACCATAATGAAATGCAAGATGTCAAAGAAGTTATCCTTCAGCACGAAACAACAAAATGCGACAACTGCATGTCAAGAAATCCAAAGAATAATTTTTATGTCGTGGAACATTAAACAAGAAGTCAATAAATCCCTGGTAATTGGACAGTTTGGCAATGCAGATCCATCAAAAGAAGAAAATTGGAGCGAAGTGTTGTACAGAATTAATCCAAAAACACTTCTGGATTTGAATAAAGGGAATTTTATGAACAAAAACAGGACTCTAGTTTGCCAAAATATTTCTACACTAGTCGATGTCGATATTTTGTTTGCTAAAGTCGATTTCGGCAATTTGTTAAATCAAAAGAAAATTTTAGGGACCAGTTACAGTTTCAAAGATATCGATAGTTTTAAAGTGCCTATAATTAAAAATAAGGATAGCTTTCAGTTTGATTTTGTTGTGGAATTGGTTAGTCGTGTTAGTTTTTTCGATATTACGAACAAAAAAGAGAAGAAGTTTGTGGAGCCCCCTAGTATCGATATTCGCTTGCCTTATGACTTCTTCTACCCGTTTATTAGGGTTCATAACGGAGCGGAAAAAGATACAGGAGGGTGGCTATTGATAATGTTAGTCTTGTATTTGAACTGTATAGTTTAATAATAAAAGTGCACTTATTTTCTGTATTATTGTTTTATTATTTGATGATAAACATATTTCCAAGATTTTAAAAAAGTTTTGTAAAAATAGTTATAAGCGATACCAAATAAACTTATAGTTACGTCATCGAGGGCGCCATTATTAAATTCATTGTTACCAACCATGGACTAACTGAACCATCGTCCATGACTAACTAGAATTTAAATTTCCCGCTGGCGGTAGGTGGATTCAGGTGGTAGCTCTGCTGTACGAAATGTCCAGTTGCCCCATTTAATTATATATTTTGTGATACTTTAAGCTTAATTTTTTTTATTAGCAGACCTTGCAGTCGAGAATTATTCTTTTTAGAACTGCTTCTAGTGCGAAGTGCCGAAGCAGCTTAACAGTCATTGCAAAAAACTCATCGCAACCTTATTAGAATATTTTGAACGGGAAAACGGTAATATTGGCCCTTTATGTCCCTTAAGTGCTGTTAAGAAGGCGAGTTTCGTTGATGTAAATAATAACTGTTTATATATTTATAATTAATTCATTTTTGTTTCTTAAATAAATATTTTGATTAAAAGAAAATATGTAAACGTGGGCGACGCTGTGCCGGTGAAGCTTAATCACGTGACTAAAAGTTTATTTGGTATGATATACCTATATACCCTGTTGGTCATCCAAAGTATATGGTCTGAATTTTAATCCGTGTGACAGAAAATAATATAAATGACCGGTTGACCGACAGAGAGACAAAATCAAAAGCGGCATACAGTGTTGCCGTTTTTTTACGTTTGTAGGAAAATGTGTGTAGAAAAATATAAGCTATCATGTATACTACTGAAATGAGGATAATATATCTAAGCTAAATTTAATCTATTACAGCTGTAGTAAAATGAATAACTACTAGTGAAAAATGAAGTTCCAACCCTAGATGCATTTTTAGTAAACGCCTAATTGAGCGGTTTGAAATTTCAATGCAAAATCCGGCAATACACCGCATAGAAGAAATTTATCGACCCAATTTTTATCTCTTTTTAATTACTTGATTTGATTTTCCATTGAGCTGTCTACATCACTGTCTTACACGTTAAAATCCAGACCGTACAGTTTCGATGACCAAATCGGTATAAGAGATTTTAAAGCTTTTACCTATATCTAAAATCCCCCTTGTACAGAATGATATAGATATAAGTTACAAGTAAAGTAAAGTTACGATTTTACTGATCTTAGGAAAAAATAGATAAAATTATGACAAGTAATTTCTAGATAGTCATATTATCTTCCACAAGTATTCTTCATGCAGACTTGCTGTTATAACCATGACCATCTCGTCGGAGAGACAAAAATGCGAAGTGTTGATTACATATCCACTTAATCCGGTGCTTTATTTCATGCGCTTAGGAAAATACTTGCTCTTCTGTTGTTCAGTACATCTTATAGTACTGAACACATTGACTGTACTCTTCGTACACACGGCCAGAAAATCGGTACCCAAAGCTAGTCGTTGCCGACCTGAACGAAGAAACATATTTTTTTATTAATATATATAACTATTGTTTTGAATGGTTAATTTGCCGTGTGTGTGTCAAATAAAAGACCCCTAGGTTTGCAGGGCTCCTCAAGAATGGAGTCAGAAAGCCCAAAAGAATCCTTGGATTTTTTAGATTTTCGCTTATAGTATCGAAACTTTGCGTTCTAGCGAATTTCACTTTACGTAGATAAAAAATTATTAAATTTTACGTCGAATGAGTACCATGATGCAACGAAAGTTACAGAGCACCAAATTTTAGTTTTACCGTGTATACTAAATTTTGATGAAGTACATGCCCAGGAAATATATTCTGAATTTTGGAGGAAAATATTCTGCAATTTACTATAGTATACTTTTCAGTGCCCATTCCTTCCAACTCTGTATGAAATAACATAAATGTTATTATATAAGCATGAAGCTAGAAGGTGCTATGTCCCGAGCTTTGAAATATAGAACCTGATCAAAAGTAACAAAATATTAAAGTCTTGATCGCTTTCAACTGCTGATAGCAACACAGAGTATATCGTGTCATATTTGCCAGGTGGTGAACACAGGAGCGGCAGATAGACCACTCGGAATTTACAGTAAGATTTACAGATTGCATTGTTTGTATAAAACCGTTCCATCCAAGAATGTCCACTGGATCGTCTATTCACCATAAATCCATAGAATATCAGTAGTATATACAGGTCGTTAATTTGTTTATTACTCGCGGCTAGAGCTTTATGGTCGAAATATGGCAACCTCGGCCCGCTCGTCGATAGACGACGCGACGCCGACGGGACGAGTCGGCAGAAAACCCTAAAAGTGCATGCGTTCTCAATAGGCAGTGTTGCCATTCTGTTCCCCTATAAGTAACTGTCCAGTTAACAATCTGTATATACAAATCAGTTCATAACGTTCTTCGCCGTCTTCTGATTTCCAGTCTCCATTGGTCTCTGTCTGTCCAGAGGTTTGCGTCTATTCCTCTTGTTCTGATGTCCCTGTCTATTCCTCCAACTCCGTCTAGGTCTCCCTCTCTTTCTTTTACCTTGCTGTGTCCAATTGAGTATTTTCTTTGGAATTCTTCTCTTCTATTCTTTGTACGTGCCCGTACCATCCGTACCACCGTTATCGCCGTATTTTTTCAAGCGAGCTTTTACGATCTTTGAATTTACCCTGAAGTAACATTCTCCAGGCGTATTCTCGTCTGTAGATACTAACATGGTTAGCAAAAGCATTTTGGTGTATTGTGGCGAACTAGAGTTTTATTTTGCTGAATTATTTTATTAAAAATTACAAAAGGGATAAAATGATATATAAATGTATTACGTATGCTGTGACGTATGTAAAATAAAACAAAGATTATTTTCAAATATTTATTTAAAATTTATAATGCTTTAAATTTGTACCCATAAAATACAGCTTCTAATATATGCAACGCTATTTTGTATTTAAAAAATATGATAAATTAACAGACATTCCAAATAATTTTTGAAATACGACCCTGTCATTTAACTGTATTGGTTTATTTGGGGATTTCTTTGTTCTTGAAAGGGACGGATCGGTCAATGCGGGGCCACCTTGAATTAATGAGGAAATTACAAAGAAAGGAGCGAAAATGCCCCTCTGGTGTTGTTTCAAGTTTCACGAGGTTGCTTTTTTATGAGTCAAAGCGACATTTAAAGTCAGTCAAAGGTATCGTGTAGACAAGAAAGTGTGTTGGCATAGTTTTTAACAATAATGAACCCGTTTTAAATGTTTATCATATCTTTAAGGCGGATATTGACTTCAGCTGACTTGTCCGCTGCTCGCGAAGAGCGTTTCGTTTGAAATCCAAAACTCGAAGAATTAGTTTCTAATGCTCAGCTCGCTGGGCTCCAGTATATTTTCAGACTTTAAAAAATGTCGGATCTAGAAATCAGTAATGCTATGTTTATTTTATTTTTTAGCTATTTATTATACCGTATCATCGAATAAAAACGGCGTCAGCGATGGCTATGAAATGAAGATCGCTGTCATTTTATATGTAAAATTATATGGGAAATGGATCGTCATTTCCAAGCCAACTGGACGCCGTTTTTTTCGATCATACGGTATTTCTTACAATATAGAGACGTTTGCCGAACCCGTACTGAATCGTAATGAAACAATCAAAGAGATTGGCTAAAAACCCGACGCGACAGTCGAATGGAGCACCGTTGTTCGTTGTTGTTCGCGGGCTGCTCGGTTCGCAGAATACTTGCGGCCATTGACTAGCGAACGCTCGTTTTGTAACACGTTACATTACAACGCTCGGTTCAAGTCAATCTCCGCCTTTAGAAGAAATAATTTTAAGTTATACATATGGTTACAGTAAAATCTAGAAATCAGAGAATGTCAACAATTACTAGTAAAAGCTCACATTTTTTTTGCTAACACTAAGCCAGTAAAACTTCAAAATATAATATTGAAGCAAACTTTTACTAGTGAAAGTTAGCATTCACTGTAACTTACTAGTGAATGCAAGCGTTTAAATTCGCTTTGCTTTTTGACTATCTTTTCATAGCTGCCCATAACTTACTATTGATTCATAACTTATTTCGATCTGAGCCTATCGGTACAACAGCATTTATAGGAAGTTACCCGATAGCGGCTAGAATATTGATGCATTTTGAGGTTAAATAAAAAGGAAAATATTTTAATTTTGATTTTGCTATAATAGAATGACTTTTGCTGAGAAAGAAGCGAGTGTTTTTTTAACAACCTATTTATGAAACTGTTATTCAGAAATAACATTTCGCAACAGTTGTTTTAAAGTAATAACTGTTACGCGTGGCTCAGCTATTCCGAAATCACATCGGAGCCGCCGCTGTCGGGGACTGTTATTTTTAAAACTGTTATTTTAGGAACAACTGGGTTGTAAGCTTGGTAGAATTTCGTGGTGCCGCATGCCGTGAGCTTGATAATATCACATCGCGTGCGGTTGCTATCGGCGCATTTTATACCTGTTGTTAGCTTGGCAAAGTGTCGTGGTGCGGCGATGCGGAATTCACACCATGAGCCACCGCTGTCAGCGCTGTTATTTTATTAAGTAACAACAGTTGCGCGCTTGGAGGAACGCCATCGACGTACTTCATACCTGTTATTTTTATGAACAACGGTTATGAGGTTGGTAGAATTTCGTGGCCCAGTCGGATTTACATCACGAGCCATCACTGTCATCAACTCTATTATTATTTTTAGGTACCAACTTTTGCCAAGTCTGGTAAAACCCTTGTCTCAGCTATTCCGATATCATATTGCGGTCGCTGTTAACAGATTGTTATTTTAAAACCTGTTATTTTTAGAAAGAACTGTTGTGAACTTGGTAGAATTTTGTAGTAGAGCGGCGATGTCGAATTCACACGTCTAGCAGGTCACTGATGCGTCTAGCTAATCGATGTCAGCGCTGTTATTTTTTTTTGAAAATCGTATTGCGTGAGGCACTTGTGGATTTGATAGAATTACGTGGGACAGCGATGCCGAATATTGTTGTTTTGTTTTTGAAACCACAACTATTACGAACTGTTATTTATAAATAACAAATTTGTGTCTGTCGATTTGAAATAGATTAAATTAAGTTGCCCGTTCCTATAGAATACTACAGACACCCTAGACTAAAAGTATTGTGAAGAAAATACTATAAGGGTGTTAATTATATTAAAATTAGATCACGCATTCACAATAATGTGATATCTTAAACTCAACATGGTAGGAATAATCGCGAAAAGTTGGGATAGACAATCGATGGTCCAGGGTCTGGTTTGCAAATTTCAAGGTGAAAGGACACGGCGCAAGGGCGCTCCTGCTTCTGGCGAGGGCTCGCCGCAGCCGCCGCCGTCCCTCGGTGCGTTTTCAAGGCCAAAGCCACTATCGATTGGCCCATTCGCCTGGCGCTGGTCCGACTACCGACGACAATTCGGCGCAAACACACCAATTTTGATTTGACATTGATCGGCAGACGATTTCTCCGGCCGGACGGTTTCGCGAAACCGATATATGTGTCATTAAAAAAGAAATTTCCTCGTTGCTTTCTCTGCCCTGTCTCCCCTTCAGCGTTGTCGTTTTGCTACGGTCGCGGCCCGGGTCACGTGGGAGTCCTGATGGACGCGACGTTCTGTTGTGACCTTCCGGCGACGGCGGAAGGCGTTTGGCGGGAGCAGTAAGTTCTCGCGGGTGAATACTGACTGTATTACGCACAAAAACTATTTGCGGTTCTATCTATTTGTGCGTTAACGCGGGTCATGGATAAAACTCTGTGAATATCCAGGTATTTTATCCAAGTGTTTTAAACTAAATTTTAGTCTTAATATAATGCATTAATTAACGCCTAAATTAAAAATTATGTTTTAATCGGAGCACACTGAAAAATGAAGTGGGTGAAGTTTTTTTTACTTGAAATCACTTATAAAAAACACAACAAAACATCCAGTATATAGAAGCCTCCCCAAATACAAAACCATAAAATTTTTTTTGCGGAAATGCATCATCTCTTCTTTCCGACTTTAGAATAACTGAAATCAGTTACATGAAAACGTGTTCCTGCTTTACATTCTAAATACTTTACTTGTGTAGGTATGAACTTAACTTAGTAGATACTGTAATTTAGACATCAATATCGTACCGAGAAAAAACGAAAATAAGCAAAAATAAACCAACAAACCAAACCAAAGCAAATCAAACCAAAACAAACCTAACGAAAGCAATCAAAACACGCTGTAAGCTAAAACGCGTCTGTTTACGAATTCCAATTGCCTGGTACTTTTCAAATCTTGCTATATTTTACAATATTTTATCAATAAATGAAAATGGTACACTTCCGCAAGAAGTTTTTATGCGTGTCTATGCTTAGAAAAATTTCTAGAATGAATAACAGAAACGTGTTTTCACGTAACTGGTTTCAGCTATTCTAAAGTTGAAAAACTGAAAATTATGCATTTCCGCAGAAAATTTTTTATGACATACTATTGAAAAAGGCTTCCAAATACTAAATAAACAAATATTACTTACATTACTGGTTTCAAGTAAACGAAAGTAGCCGTGATTTCAGCTATTCTAAAGTTGAAAAACTCGAATATGAACTCTAATAACTCTAATAAACAAATATTTCTTACATAACTGATTTCAAGTAAACGAAACTTGAGCCAATGATGTTTAATGAACTAAACGTTACGAAAAAATCTGCAGGAAATTAATCAAATCCATCCTGCCTTTGTTCTGCACTTATAACACACCAATTTGAATTAAAATTTTCAAATTAAGCTGTTTTATAATTTTATGACAATAAGTAGAGTTAAGACAATAACTAGGAGTATTCCTGGTGCAGTGTGAACAAAAAAGTCTCCTGCATCAAATAATTTGTTTTCTATTCCGGTTTCAGAGTCCGGTGAAATTAGGTAATGCAATTATTTTTTGCTTGTCTAAAAAACATAGATTAAGTCCTTATAGTCCTTATACCGTCAAAGATGTGCGAACATTCTGTTGGAACTGTTTTTTAGTTTTACTTTTCTTTATCTGCTTCCCAAATTCTTGCCCATCTTTCGAATATTTTGAGCAGTCCCTGTACATTAACTTTTACGTATCGAAAATTATTCTCATCAACAACTATGTTCTCAAATCTTTTGACTATAGTTTGCCCAACGGAAGGATACAATGACATGACAGTGACAGTTGTGTCATTGTGTCTCTCATTTTGATTCACAGGTAATACTTTCTGTCATTTTCGGCTGTTGTCTGTTGTCTATCGAATTCTTCCCTGGTTTGTTGGATGGACTTTAAACCCTTTACTTTGTTTACATAGTTTACTTATTTGTAAAATTTTATAAAAAAACAACATATTATTCTTCTAAGATTTTCTGAGATATCTGCCAGTAAAGTTAATTAAGTTTCTATGCATCAAAGAGTGGATTATTTGTGATTAACATAGAAATATTAGGCTTTGAAGCAGTATAAAGTATAAACAGTTGTAGTCAAAATATTAAGAAAAATAGTAAATATAAAAGTAGTATAAAATACGTTTGCAACAATATGCAAGGCTTAATATACAATATACCAAATATCGACGTTAGTTCAGAAATTATTTAGAAAAAATCGAAATAAAGATGAAACTTCTACACCCTATACCTCTGAAATGAATAGTTCATTTCAAGTTTCCTTCAAGTAGGAGACACTGATATCGAAATCGAATTTCTCATGACAAATCACTTTTTGATTTTTTAAATTATTTTTATAATAAATTATTATTTAAATCAATTAAAATTTAGTCAATATTTTAAAAATGGACATATTAAGAAAACTACCTTTGGTAACTACCCCAAATGGATCCTACGTGAAAAGTTCTATATTAATCCTTTTTCATATTTTTTTGATTTTGTTTTGATAAGTTGTCAAACAAATTAGAAACGAGGAGTGCTTGAAGTTGCAATGTTTTTAAAATCACCTTGTAATAGAAACTAAGAATGCTGGCCGTGACAATTTTGGTCATTTTGGTTTTCACAAAGAAGTACTCTGGTTCGTCAAAATCGTAAAGTTCTATTTTTACTCAGATTTTTATTAATAAGCGAGATAATCATCAAATGGAAATTGCAATTACGGATTAGGGATGGGATTTTTTTTCGATGTATCGATAACTATTGTTACATCAAATAACAATAGGTGATTTCAAAATTATCGATATATCTATCGAGTTATTGATACTTATCGATATTTATAGATGATCATTGACATATCGATAACTAAAATATATCGATAGATGAATTCCGATAACTTATCGATAGGTAAAATCCATTATCGTTCAACCTTAATTGCAACTAGAAATGGGATACTCGGTACATCATGCAAATCTCTTTGTAGGGAAACGTCAAATCGAAAAATTTGATATGAAAGAAACTTATTTTTAAAAAAGGAACCATTTCCTGAACTTTCTCCGACTTTTTAATTAACACCTTGTATATGTCGCTAAATATTACTGATTGATAAATTAGTTGGGACGGTTCCAGCTTAAAACAGACCTGTTTTCTGTTTTTACCCTACCTGTAACCAAACTGTAACAGTGTCATGTTAATAGTGTAAGTTTTAAGGTAATTTTCGTATTTCATAATTCAATGACCTGATAAACCTTATCCACACAAGCACTATGTTTTGTATGCAGCAGATATTTTTTTAATTATTCCGCTGTAATTATCATTACCACCCAACGAGACTTACATACACATACGCAACTGCTATCTCAGATAGATAGAAAATAATTGTTCATTTACGATTAAACGCCATTTGTAAAAACAAAAGTGATATAACTTTTTCCTCCATTCGAGATTATTTTATCTAACTTTGAGGAAACCGTTAGACAATCCATTCTTGGAACGATAATGTCGAGTTAACACGTGAGTAGTATTGTTATCTTTCGAGTACTCGTTGCTACCCACACATGCAGTTCTTACAGGAAGGTTCAAATACAAACAATGTCGATAAACTATAAACACAAATTACTTGTTTTCTGGATGAATCTGTCTCGCAGAAAATGTAACAACAAAAAAATAGTAATTTGTGGGAAGGTATTTCTGAAAAATTTTGGGAATATCTAAAATTAGAAGACAAAGTAATTAAAAGAAAACAATTAATAATACAAATATTTGTTCTATACCTATGAGGTCAATGTCAATATCTATACCGATGACAATAAATTCATCTCGATTTGAATTTGCAGCAGACAATTATATTGATATTCTTTAATATACCTAGCTGCAGTCACAAACGTTTACAGTTTACAGTCAGTTTACAAAGTGTTAATTGAACAATTTATATGGTGTAGCTCATGCAATAAAGATGTTTAAACCATTGTATGTATATCTTTACAAAAGCCATTCTTACCGAGTAAAGATAATAAATTTAGTTAGTTCTTTTATACAAGTTACGTAGACATAAAATGTAAAATTTTGTTGATTTCAGTAAAACTCCTTGTCTACACATTATATTCAGTATAATGTAAAATGTATTATATCATTATTTAGTTCTTTGAATTGTTCCCTCGATAAGATTAAACAATAAGTTCTTGACTAGCTTTTTATTACAATATTTTATAACTAATTGAATTAGATAAAATAATTTTATGAAGAGTGAATAAGTGCTTAAGTGATCGTATTATAAAGATAAATTATTCTATACTTACAGGTATTTCAATTACTGTATTTTAATTTGGTTTTTGTTTTATTTGATTTCAATTTTTTAATTGGTGTGTAACAATAAATTACTTGCTTTATAACAATATCTCTATATATTTTTTTCTGGCAAAATTAACACCGCACAAAATACAGAAATATTGAAAAAGTTTGTGTGTGTCAAACTTAATTTAAACCTACGTCACTTACTGCCGAAATACTTTTATTATTTACAGCAGTTTGACAAAAAAGTATAACTACCTTTTATTTGTTTTTACTCAAATGGTGTCAGTTAAAAGAAGAGTCAATTTAAAACTCATTCTTTCTTCTCATAATTGAAGACTCGTCTATCGAAATATATTTATACTATTTACCCAACAGGCCAATCACGGCCATCATACAGTCTCAGAGCTTAAACAAAAGCCGGTACCTAAGAGGGTTTTAGAAAAGGTAGTTCTCAATCTCCAATATAAGTCGTACCAAAGTTTATGGCACGGATGTTTGTCGTCTCGGCGCACTCAATGAGGTGTTCTGGTGTTTCCTCATTTTCCCTAAAGAATGTGCTCTTTCTGAGCGTCAATCTACTTTGAGTTGTTCGTTGAGGAGACTGTGTCCTGTTAAAAAACTCCGTGACAATCTTACATACATACATACTGCCATTACTCGCTGATGAGTATTCGACACACATCAGAAGATGGTCACGCAAGGCGTTTTCTTTCATGAGCTTTTCTGTGACTGAAAAGCCCGATACGTGATGTTATCTGCCTACCACAATCCGGACATTCATAAATCTCATTGCTTTGTTGCCTCTTTTTTGGTTCTCGCTGTTAACTGAGTTTACAACTCTTCTCCATTGAGTTGTAATGTGAGCTGCTTCTTCCCACTCATTCTGCATGTTAATCCCCTTTAAGTTTTCGTGGAAAATGTCCTTGTACCTTTTCAGTTGTCTACCCGGCCTCCCCTTACCGTCTACAAGCTCACCGTAAAGCAGATATTTTGGTATGCGGTTTTCTTGCATTCTGCATACGTGACCAGCCCATCTTAAGCGGGATTTTGTAACCATGACTCCAATACTCTCGCAGTTAGCTTTTTCAGGGACCGATACGTTTGAGAC